ACACACACACACACACACACACACACACACACACACACACACACACAGAGAGAGAGAGAGAGAGAGAGTTCTTTTTGAAGGGTTTTTTGTTCTGAGTTTTCATATTTTTAGAATGGCAAGATAAACAATGACATAACTCAAATTAATAAACTCAATCAAAATGATGATCAGTTGTAATCAGCAAAAGGTAGCCAGTATTACATAACTTTTGTCACATTATATAGCACAACCATATTATTGGATTTTGTTATTTTGTACAATTTAAAACTGTGTACACGATGCTCTCACCTATTTTCTTCCACAATAACCTCGTTAGTTGAGTTGGGCTTAAGAGAGAACAACCCTCCAAAATCACTCAGCTGGCTTTCATGTCTCATAATATACCTACCATTCTGCCATTATATATAAAGATGGGGGTCATGTTGTCAGATATCTATTTTCAATGTCCATAGGTTTCCTAAAAGCATAAGCTGTTGGTTGGGAAAACATTGCACAATCTATAATTCCATGCTGGGATTTCCAACTACTTCAAACAAAGGCAGAGAAAGGAATACAGGTAGTCCTCAAGGTAGGAACTAATGGAGCCTGCCCATTAGGTTCATAAGTAAAAAAAAATCATCAAATGAATCAGACTCAATTTTACAAATTTTTAAAATCAAATACATTAATTGAATCAAATGGCTCATTAAACAAAGATCTGACTTACTTCCCACTTATAATCAGCTGTTTTCGGTATAGCCAAAGGAAGGAGGAACTAAATGGCCTCCGATCAGTTAGCTGAGCTCTCCATTTACAGCAGGGGTGTCCAACCTTAGCAACTTTAAGACTTGTTGACTTCAACTCCCAGAATTCCTCAGCCAGCAAAGCTGAACAGTAGTCACCGAACTGGTAGTAACACCAGTTGAATCCCACCCCTGCAGGGGAGACCTGAAGCAGTGTTCCAATATTTGAGGGGCTGCCACAGAGAGGAGGAGGTCAAGCTATTTCCCATAGTACCCAAAGGCCAGACAAGGAATAATGTGTGGAAAGTGAACAAGGAGAGACTCAACCTAGAAATAAGAAGACAGTTTCTGACGGCAAGAGCAATCAACCAATGGAACAGCTTGCCTTTGTAAGTTGTGGGAGCTTCATCACTGGAGGCTTTCAAGAAGAGATTTGGACTGCCATCTGTCAGAAATGTAGCACACAAAATTATCTCCTACAATGTCCTACCAGTCAATGACTACTTCAGCTTCAACCACAACAATACAAGAGCACACAACAGATACAAACTCAATGTAAACCGCTTCAAACCCAATTGCAGAAAGTACGACTTCAGCAACAGAGTGGTCAATGCCTGGAATGCACTACCTGACTCTGTTGTTACTTCCTCTAACCCCCACTCCTTTAACCTCAAACTAACCACTATTGACCCCACCCCATTCCTAAGAGGCCTGTAAGGGGCGTGCATAAGTGCACCATTGTGCCTACTGTCCCTGTCCTATTGTCCCCATTTATTTGTACCTATTTCTTGTATTCTTACTCATGTTTATACTTATATCTATTATCTTGTAAGCAATTGACAAATCAAATCAATCAATCAATCAATGGTGTAGGGTCTTCTGCTTGGGCAGGGGGTTGGACTAGATGACCTAAAAGATCCTTTCCAACTCTGTTAATCTGTTAAAATATGATACTACTGCTACACTCAGCTTCAAAACAATAAACGAAATTATAGGGGGGGGGGGAAGCCACCTGTTTGCAATACATCAGGGGTCTTCAAACTTGACAGCTTTAAGACTTGTGGACTTCAACTCCCAGAATTCTTCCTCCAGTCATCTTAGCTCAGGAATTCTGGGAGTTGAAGTCCACAAGTCTTAAACTCGCCAAGTTTGAAGACCCTTGACGTACGTGCTCACTTCATTTAACAAACCTCCTTCCCGAAAAAACCTCTATGTGAACAAGGGGCAAAAGATCGCAGAGCTCGTATCAAAAGTTCCACCCAGCGAACGAAACGATCAATCAGAGGCGCGAGACGGTAGCGGCATACGCATGCGCATACACGCAAAATTTTCCTCAGACCCGGAAACTTTCCCATCGTCGGGCTTTTCGCCGCGATGCTGAAGGCTCGTTCGAAATGCTTCGTGCCTAATGCATCATAGAGCTACTTCACGCGAGTCCTTGACTCTTTCTTCCGTTAACTAAGCGGGGATTAGAATTCCATAAGGATGAAATCGCCGGGGTTTCCCGCGCCCCTATTATTTGCAGGGGCCAATTAAACGAAGTTTCAAGCGGGGCTATGAAATCGAGTCTCAGCCCTCGCTACAACCTCACGCATGCGCCCTCGGCGGTTGTTGCATAAATCGCAAAGCGCGCAGTTTGAACCGATTCTTCGGGGCTGGGTTTGTTTGCCTTTTGGCCTGTATTTAGCGGGAAGGGAAGAATTATGCGACCCGGTATATTTCGGAGCCGTTCCGGTAATGAACCCGCCGGCCACATGGCGCAGCAGCAGCACCCGCAGTCCGGAAGCCCGTGGAAAGAAACGCGGCTGGCTTTGAGAAGCTTGGCGGAGTGCCTGAAGTGCTCCCTTTGGTAACCGGTTATGCCTAAGCAAAAGGAGGGCGGAAGGGATGGCGCAGAGGCTTTGGATGGGGAAAAGGGATTTGGAAATTAAGTCATCTTTGCTGTTATCAGTGGTCCTGCGGATGCTTCCAGTCCAGAACTGATCCAACAGACCACATTGTTTATAGAGCAGGGAGTTCCAACCTTGGCAACTTGCGCATAGCGCACCAACGTGCCTACCGCTCCTGTCTTAATGTTCCCTTTTATTCATATCTATTTCATGTATTAATAATTATGTTTATACTTATATATATTATCAAAGGCATGCTTGACAAAATAAACAAACAAATAACATAAACAAACTTTAAGACTGGTGGACTTCAACTCCCGTGGTTGGAGACCCCCCTCCCCCCCCTCCCAGTTTAATGAGTTATTTTTATTTATTTATTTTTGTCAATTGCTTACAAGATAATAGGTATAAGTAAAAGCATAGTTATGAATACATGGATACATATAAGAAAAATAAAAGAAACAATAGGACAGGGACGGTAGGCACGTTGGTGTGCTTATGCAGACCTCTTAGGAAAGGGGTGAGTTGCGTAAAACTTGTCAATAAGAAAAAGCTAGGGAAATTAATGATTTGAGATAACATCATACATATTGATCTACTCCAGCCTTTTCTGGTTCCATATAAAATGTTCGGCAAGTGGCATTTTTAACAAAATCATATGGCAGAGAATATATCTGACCATTAGTGAGGGATGTTTTTGTTCATTTGCTTTTTGTTTGTTTTTCAAGCATGTACAAGCCCTTGCAGTTTTCATGGCAAGGGTTTTTAGAAGTGCTTTGCCCTTGAGCCCAAGCATAAAATGAAGTAGAAGTCATGCTCTCTCCCCTGTTTCTAGCCCAATGTCTCAGCCACCACAGCAGATTAGCTCTCAAATTTTGCAAGCAAAATTATTTTAATTTTTACTTTTAGATGTGGTTCTCCTTGAAATGGGAGTTTGCAATTGTAGATGGGATTAATTCCTTAAATATAGACATTTCCACTTATATTCAGAGGATTGTTTTCTTTGGAAGAATGTACAGTGTTGTGATTCCCTATCTTACAGATTTCCTAGATAACAGTTAATTACGTTGTTGGCACTGGCTATCCTTCCTCAGTGTAGAATGGGTCAAATGAATTAGGAATTGCAGTCTCAGTAACTAGGCTGCCAGGTTATAAAGACTGACTTTGGCAAGGAACGTTACTTTAGGGTATACTCTATTTCATTTGTGTTTGGGTTCTGATATTTCAGTGGCAAAATCACACTAATATTGCAGAATAAATAAAGGGTTTCAACACTGGTTTGCACAGTTGAAGGTAGCATGCTATTAAAACCTTGTTATTGAAGTTGCCCTGAATGTCCATGGATCTTGCTATTTTGGTTGCAACCCATCTCTTCCAGAAACAGACATACAAAAATAGCCTGTAGCTTCTTATCAGCACATATAGACAGTTTTTGCTCATGCTATAAGACACTGGAATAAGTAGCAGCTAGGGAAGTAATCATCCTATTAATGTCTGCCTCCCTCTGTGCAGAAGACCCTTTGATATTTGTATAACACTGTTGAAATTTACCAAAAGAAATACCATGAGAAATAACTTGAACAATGCTGTAATTAATTATTGATTGTGAAAACGCAGATAGAAGATTCTTTATTTTCTGGGTCTTTACTATGAATTTTGTGGACTCCTCTGTTTCTATTCAGCTCTGTGCCTCACCCAATTTTATTTATAAAATTATTTTAATTAATAATTAGGAAGCCAATATGCTGCAGTGCACCAATCTTTATTTTCAGCAGTGCTTTTAAATTCTGTATATTCCCTTGAGGGGTTTTGAAAAATAAGCAATACTTTGTTAAAAATAACAAGGTATTGTTTATTAAAGAAAAAGGGCTGGAGGTGGTGGTGGCAATGTGCCCATCTGCTCAATAGTGGTGGGAGGTTAAAAGGAGTAGCAGCAAACAATTTAGCTGCTTTGCCGCTACCAAATGGATGTTTTGTGTAGCAATTGGATGAGGGAGTCCATAGCACAGTGGTGGGATTCAAATAATTTAACAACCGGTTCTCTATACTAATGACTGGCTGGGTAAGTGTGGTTGGGTGGTCATGTGTATGGGTGTGGCCAGCTCGACGTCACTCATCACACCCAACCCCGCCTCCCGGCCACTCTCCCTTTCCCCAGGACTTGGGCCTATATGCAACACCTCCAGAAATGAAAGGGTTAACCAACTCTATTTCCTGGTGCAAATGCTCCCTCCCCTGAGTGAAAGGATGGGAAGAGACCAGCAAAGCATTCTGCTCCCATCTCCAAGGAAAGTAAGACATTGGAGGCTGAGCTTATTATAAAGCAATATATTGTGTCATAACAGTCAACATTTCACACCTGAGGTGGCAGAGGCAATAAATCCCATTGACTCCTCAGAAGCAATTTACAACTAAAGCCCGTTTGCACCCCAAAATAATAAATAAATAACAGAAGGAGAAGGATTGACAATACTTCTGTGCAGGCAATTATGAAAGAAACTAAGCTAAAGCTGGATTAACCCCTGCCTCCCTTCCTTCCTTCCTTCCTTCCTTCCTTCCTTCCTTCCTTCCTGCTTTTTGCCTGAAAACAGCCTGAAAATGGCTGAAAAATGGGTTGAAAAACAGCCCCCAAACAGCCATTTTTTGGACCTTTTTTGCCTAAAAAATGGCTGAAAACTGCCAGAAAAAAAGGCCTGAAAATGGCCAAAACAGCCATTTTTTGACTTTGGGGGGCATTTTTTGCCTGAAAAACAGCCAAAAATGCCCCAAAAAACAGGCAAGGGTGGGGCCAGCCAGTGGTGAGATTAGGCGGTTTGCCAAACTCTGCAGAATTGTAACAACTGGTTCCCCCAAATCTGTCTGACCTAGCTGAATCCCACCTCTTCCATAGCATGATTTCAAAATTTTAGATGTGCTCCCATGCTAAAAAGATTAGGATCCCTGATCTTTTTCAAACAGTTGAGAAATATAATGAATTTGATGAGCCTTGATGCAACCAAACAAAGCTTTAATTACTGTAAACCTACATGCGTCTGCTTTAGAGGGAAGCTTAAACTGTCCTCCAGATTCTAAAAACACACCCATGTATTTGCAGCCTGTCCTTGACACCACATTGCTAGCCATGTTTTTCTGTATTGGAGGTGGAATTCTTCACAGGTAAAACTTGTCCCAAGAGGCAGCTGCCTAGAGAGATATTATTTGAGTACAAAAGATGAACACATTTTTTTCGTAGTATCCAGTTTTTTATGTTAATGTAGGGGAAAACAGTGTTTACCTAGCTTATTTATCTTGATATTATTTATCTTGGGGATGGAATGAAAATGTGTCCATTCTAATATTTAGGACAGAAATAACTCAATTCCATTTATTCTCTTCTTGACAGTACTAACATTCTGAAGAAACCTGTGGACCTAGGAACTTGTGAGCATGTCTTCTGTCTGTGAGTCATGACATAACTTTATGGGAGATGAATAGTTAAAAAATGTGAAAAATAAATAAAAATTGTTATATAGCTTTTCCCAAGCTTGCCTATTTTGATAATATTTTTAGTCTGAAGTAAATATGTGTTATTGCTTTCTATTTGTGGCTGCTAGTATGATTATATCTTCTTATGTAACCATACATGTATGTCTCAAGAAAGCACTTATTTGTTGTAATGTTTTTTTTCCTTTTTATCATTGTAGATGAAATAAAGATTAAATAATTTAAGCCTCTGTTAGGTTTGACATATTTATTATGCATTTAAATGCCTTCCACTCCACACAAACACACACATCATCCTATCAGTATAATATTCTAGAAATACTCAGAACCTATATATACAAACTACAAGTAGTCTTTGCTTACCTATTCCTCGTTCAGCGAACCTTCAAAGTTATGACAGTGCTAAAAAAATAATTATAACTAATGCTGCATTTTCAACCTTTGCAGCATAGCTCAGTCATCTGATTGCCATTACAATCAATATACGTTATCCTTTGCCTGTTGTTAAGGAATTATAAGAGAATAAATAGGCACACAATGGAAATACATATCAAAGGTCTGTGTTGCCAGTCCTTGGCACATTCTGGATTGGAATGTTGAAGTACATTATGCAAACAGTCAAGTATATTACTTATTCTGTCCCTGTTTACTGTCTTGTAATGTCTTCTTCTCCAGTCTCTGCTCTGTGAAAGTGGGGGAAGGTTGGGAGGAAAAACAACCCCAAGCAATCTCTTATGCCTGACCGTTTTTTGTCATGTTGCTTTCAATGTATATTCCCTATTGTGCCTGCTTATCTAAATGACGACTTGGATTATTTTTTGCATGTCTTTAGAAATAGTACTTCATATTGCATATGATGCTGTTTCTACTACATGTAAGTTTCATTTGGAGTAGATTTCCCAGATTAAATTAGACAAGTATAATTACTTGTTCGGTTGAAATAGTTGTAATTTATTTTAATTTTATCTTACATTATTTTGTAAACCTTTTCATGTAATATTTGTAATATTTTTCCTCTCTCTTTCCTTTTAAAATAAATTGTGTTTTTAAATATATGATATAAATATCAGAACAATTAAAAAGATGACTGTAAAGAGATCATTCTCTAAGCAAACCAGTTAAGTAAATAAACTGATTCATATAAACATAAGCAAGTATGAAGCTAGCTTTTTTGAAATTTTTGGTTATACATAGCCTCAGTTAATCCTGGCAACATCAGAAAGGTAAAATTTATAATCCAGAAAGAGGGAGCATGCAAAAGTTAATGCCACTGTCCTTCTCTGTAATTTTTCTTACTTGTGCATTTTGTTCTAAATTACACTTTGGTGTGACGTATGAACATAGAGTTTGTATCAAACTATTAACTTATATAAGCTATCAGTGAAAACTTTACCATTTTAAGTGCATTATAAACAATTGTCTTGTTCTTATGTATTTTAATTTCTAAGATAAAGACTTATTTAACCATGTGTTAGAAATTATTGTTTGTTATCCAGATGTAGTTTTTCTCATGAAACCATGTTTATATTTTTCAGAACTTGTGTAGGCACAGCTTGCCCAATATGTCAGGTACCAATCATGAAACAATATGTGAAAATAAACAGCAAACTAGACCTCATCATCAAACTCTACAGCAAATTGCAAACTTTGCAGGACAAGAACTTCTCAGGTAATAATACTTTTTGAAACCTGAAATTATGTAGCTTGAAAGAACAAAACCATCTTTCAAGACTCTTTTCCACTATACATTTAAAATGGACTGTAATTACATTTTGGTGTCATTTTTGTATAACTTGACATTTTTGGTGCTGCTGCTGCTATTATTGTTATCCTTCGGATGGTGACATTATTCAGTGGATGGCATTCCTTTTGAGAGCAAGGCATCAGAATTTCATTTTAATATGTGTTATTGTACATACAGGTGAATAACAAATTTTATATTTTCATCTTATTTTATCTAACTAGAATCTTACTGGACTGATATTTGTTAACATTTCCCTTCTGAAGTGGCAGAAACACTGGCATTCAGTAGGATTTTGACCCCTAGAGATGGGAAAAACCTAATAAACACCAGCATTCTGAAAGGCTCAGAATGTTGGTGTTCATTGGCATTTTTGCCAGATTTGGGGTTGTTCCTCTAATGTGTGGAAGGATTTCCCCTCCCTGTACAGAGGTGAGGGAAAATCCCTTGGTGCACTGGGGAAACAGACCTCAAATCCAACATCCTTTTGCTTGCAACCTTTCCTGTTGGCTTCCACATTGACTTTTGGGATAATAGCAATAGCTCTTAGACTTATATACCACTTTGAAGTGTTTTACAGCCCTCTCTAAGTCAGCATATTGCCCCCAACAATCTGGGTCCTCATTTTACCTACATAAGAAGGATGCACCTGAAGCAGTAAAAGAGGAAGTAGAGAAGAAGACCCCTTGTTAATTCCTTAGGATGGAAACCAAACAAAGATATTTTCATAGACATTTAATTAAAGATTCTCTATTGGCCAATTGGAATAAAATAAGGAAAAACATTATTTAAAGATCCCTATCTGGCTCTCAACAATGGAGGCGATAATTCACCTGAACCACTTGGATATTAATAAGATGTTAAAGCATAGAGATTCATTGTATATACAAGGAAATTTGAAATTATGGCAAGACCTTCAGGAACAAGGGTTACGAATTGACCGGTGAGCATATCTTCAAGTCCAGAATAGATATAGACAGGACATGAAAGATTTCAGAATCTATAATAAACCACAGAAATTAGATAAAATTTTATTAGGCCCAGATAAAAAAAAAAATAACAACATTTTATAACTATTTATTAGAATTAGAGGAAGAAATAGTTAAAGGTAATATGATAGCTTGGAGTAGTAATATAGCCGTAGCATTACTTTATCAAAATGGGAGAAGATCTGGAACAGAAACAATAAAATTACAAAATCGGCATCATATAAAGAAAATGCTTACAAAATGTTCTATAGATGGCACCTACCCCCTTCTAGATTAGCAAAGATGTTTCCCAACATGAGTCCTAAATGCTGGAAGTGTAAAAAAAAAGAAGGAACATTTTACCATATGTGGTGGTCGTGTACAGATATTGGCTGAGAATAAAAAAATGGATGGAGGAAATTACGATTGAGCAGATTGAATTTAAACCAGAATTCTTCCTATTAGGGATTCTCAACAGACAATTCCCCAAAAAAGTTAAATATAGAATACTACATATATTGACGGCAGCTAGATTGGCCTTCGCACAATGCTGGAAACAATCCTATACTCCACCAGAGGAAATGATTATTCAGAAAATATCAAGCTGTGCAGAAATGGATAAACTAACTCTAGCACTAAAAAATAAAGAACTATCGGAGTACTATATGAGTTGGAACTGTTGGTATGAGTGGATAGACCGAAGATAGACCATATAATTATAATAATAATAAACTGTAAATGAGGAGGAGTGACAATAGTAGTAATTAGATATTCTCACTAAAGATTAATTGCAAATATGGTACAAAATAATGAGATAAATAAGAAACCACAAACTGTTGATGATGTAATCATTTTTAATTGTTTACCCTTTTTTGTTTTTCTTTCCTTTCTCAATCTGTGTGTGTGTTGTTTGTATATTTTAACAGTAATTTTTAATGAAGTTTATTACAAAAAAGGAAGAAGGATGGAAGGCTGAGTCAATGTTGAGCCTGGTGAGACTTGAACTGCCAAATTGCAGGCAGCTGGCAGTCAGCAGAAGTAGCCTGTACTGCACACTAACCACTGCGCCACCGTGGCTCATAAGCTATCAGAAGATTGCATATGGCAATCATAATCACTGGACACTTGGCACCTAGTCATAAATATGAACAGATTGCCAAGTGCCCAAAGGTTATGTGACTAGGGGAGTCCCCATCATGATGTTTTACAAAGGCCCGAATTAAAGCACCTATTCCAAAATCATCTTGATTGTGGTCATTAAATGACCAGTTGTAAGTCCAGGACTATCTGTAAATCCTGTGCTAATGTTGTCATATTGATCATGATCATGAGTACCAACAATTGTTCAAAAAATTGTTGTTATATTTAGTAAAACTTATTTTTCAAGAGCTAACTTTCATAGAAAAAACATGCTGCTTAGGTAAAGCAGACTAAACATTATGGAAATAGGTATATGTTCAAATATATTGTTTGATTTGTGTCTAGAATAAAATGGTGAATGCAGTTTTTTGAGTCCAATGTGCATTTTGGAATATAGGGAGTCCTTGATTTACAATAGGTTGCTTAGCAATGATTAGGACAGACTGCCTCATTGTGGGGACTCGTGGCAGAATTCCACAAGAGGCATTGGCAAAGCTCTTGTTTTTTCTTTTCTCGATAGTCGCTAGCCTTCCCTCCCCTAATTAGCATTTGCAGCCGTAAGAAGCCCTTTTGGCTTTCCTTTCCTTGCTAGCCCTAGCCTTCCCTCTCCTACCATTAGCATATTATCATTTGGCTTCTAATGTTGGGAGAGGCAAGGCTAGTGACTAGGCAGGGAAGAAAAGCCACCAGGATTTCTTCTTGCTAGTGCCTTCATTTCCCCAGTGATAGCTGCAATACGCTTGTGGAATTCCGTCATGTGGCCCAGTAATGGAACGGCCTGTTCCTCTTTTTGTTCAACTTGAGTTCTGGAGAATGTCTGAAAGGTAAATTAACAATCAGTGGCAGGGGTGGGTACAAAGCCCAAAGCATTAGGATCCAAAAAGATGGGAAGTAGAGCATGGGATTGGTTTCTCAGTGAGGGGAGGGGAGGCATTGGGAGGCTAGAGAGAGTTGTGTCTGCATTAGGGTCTCCCCCACCCCTGAGGCATCCCATATTCCACTTAACATTTAACGAATACATAGAAAACAGAGATAGGGACACAAGTGAAGCAGATCACTTAACACCCACCCCCCAACATTCGCCCACAATGGGGAGACTCCACTATGATTACCTGTATTGTTTTCTCTACTTTTCATCATCCAGCTCATACCAGTTAGTGCAATAAGAGCTACAAGGTGAATAATAGATCTGGAGAGGACAGAGAACACAGTGTTGCATGATAAGATGCTAAGAAGAACAGAATGTGGGGCAGTAACAAAAACTTAATGGAAATCATGTTTGAAAAAAAAGTAGAGCCTCTCATTTTCTATTAGCCTTAATTATCATCCTGGACCTTGAACTTTGGTTTTAAGCATGTATTCCAAAAAGGCTTAATTCAAAGACATCGAGAAAGAAATATTCCATATTCTTGGCTGCTTCTGAACAGTTAACTCCAAAAGATTCTCCTGAGACAGATCAAACCATTCTTGATATAATACTTTATGGATCTAAATGTGTATTATTATAATAGATACAAAAAATTAGACCTCAATCTTCAAAACTTCTTTCCATTTGCATTGTGCAACAGCTTAATAACTAAATATACTGTAATTTGTCACTTCAGGCAATAAAATTGAATCCATTAGCACAAAGTTTATCCTTAAAAAAATCTTTTTTCTCTCTTGATAAGGGGAAAATTGCAGCCTAGTTCCTCTAGTCAAAGATTATTATGGTGTTTGAATAGCATCATGCAGTGTTATTAATATATTTAATATACAGGTTATTACAGGTTATATACAGGTTACAGGTTATTCATATATTTAATATATATTTAATATACAGGTTCACTATACAGGCAGTTAAAAATAAAGTTGACAGTGTCCCCCTTCCTATTTTCTGGATATGAATATTTATATCCAGGTAAAAATTTGGAATTGCAGTAATTTTGATGAGGGTAAATAAATAATATGAGGAGTAAATGTCACCTGTACAGTGTTTGTTTCTAAGCTTGTTGGCAACCTGGCTTCACAGATTGTGTTGCTACAATGGAAGGTTACTTAAACTTTTTTTAGTGATACAACAATCTTGTTCTGTTTCTGTTTTGTTCTACCCATAACTTCCAGCCAGTTCTTTCATAGGCCTAACTAAAAGTACCAATGAAATTTTTCAACATTAATTGGTCATTATTGCCTTAGGCTATATTAATAACTTATCCTTGCAACTTGCTTTATCAAGAAATATGACATTTGCATTAAGTCTAATATATTACATTTTATGTAGGATGTTATGAAAGTTACTACTTGATGCCCTATGTTCTATTAATTTACTCTGCAAATTTAGTTGCACATACTGCCCTTGAGACACAAATCACAGATATTTTCACCCATTAAAATAAAATACCTACAATAGAAAATAAGATTTTAATAAAAGTTGTTGAGTACAAATTCATTAAGAGAAGCCAAGGGCCATTGTAATTTGATTATAGTGATTTTGAACTTTCTTTTAAATTGAATGTTTATACATTTATTCCTTTGGTTATAGATTAACTTGTTAATAAAATATCCTAAAAATATATAACTGGGATTTTAATGCAGAGTGGTGTAAGTAATGTGAAATTCAGTTAGTCTCAATGGATTCAAATTTTTAAAATAATTGCATATTTCAATTTGCATACCATGTCCCAGTATGCTAAGTAACTAAAACTTTCCATAGTATAATGTCCTTGTCTTTCACTTTTTAAAAAGCTTTGCATTAGGCAAGATACTTTATATAGTGTTTGAACTTCTATAATTTATAGCAATGGATGCATTGTTTGTAAATCCATTTGACTTTTTAGTATTTCTACACAAAGAAGACCTAAGATGTGATCTGTTCTCCACACAAGTCCTAAAACTAGATAGAGAGAACATGTATTATGAAAAGTGACATTGAGACAGACATGCATACTATTGTAGATATCATGGGGGCTATTGCATTTATAATTTTGGGCAAATTGAGTGAAAGAAGTGACTGATAGCATATGAGATGCATAAAGCTACAGAATATCCCTGGAAGAATTGCATAATATGGTGAGTTACAACTGAACAGAGTATAGTATAACATATTCTATATAGGAGTCCTCTACTGAAATGCTTAATGGGTGCATTCACAGTTAAAGCAGTGGTCTTTACAGCTCATCAGATGACTGCGGCTATACAGGTGTAGCGAGATGTTTTCTTTAGACCTGCTTGGATAGAACTCATTTTCTGTAGGTAAAGAATGTTTCTACCACTGAACAACTCTATGCTGCTTTGATCTTTGTTTTGAGGCAAATCTTAGTTTAACATAATGGCAACATGATTTCTGCAAATCTGAAAGTAATTTTCAGGAGGAAGAAGAACAGGATGTACTGTACTATGAGTAACCATAATACTCATCTCTATAATGTTGAATTGTGATATAAGTTTGCATGGAAACTACCACTCTATATATGTGGAACTCTTCTTACTTTTTTTGTAGAATTTTTGATCAGATATTATACTCAAACATGAGAAGAAACTCTGGAGAAATTAGAAGAAAATGTTTATATACAAAAAGCCTGACAGATTTTTGGAATGGAAAAAGCATTTCATCATGACTGCAGCCTTAAGTGAAACTGCAGATACAAATAATACCACCAGTAAGAGGTAATATTGTTATAGTGTACATAAAACTAAATATTTTTCCTCCCTTCTGTTTCCTTGTCAGATCCTGAAAATAACTTGTCTGCTTTGGGAAAGAAAGTCAAAGAGGCAGAAACTAAAAAGAAAGAAATCAAGATGTGTTTCAGTCCTCACAGTAGGAAGTTGAAATTCACCCTGAAGACAAGCCCAAAGAAATTAGAGCAGCTGAAGGAATCAGTCAAGGACAGCGGGTCTTGTAACTTAACCTCCATCTATGACTTTGTTTCTTCACCTCCTCATGAGAAGCCTTTCAGAGAGGAACAAACACATCAGCAGGAATATAAGAAGAAGCTAAGAAAAAATACTTTAAAAGACTTCAGCAAACAGGGGGATACGTTCAGGGGCCAACAGGAAAACTCCAGTGAAAGGTATAAAGTAGGCCTAAATGAAAGCAAAGATCCAATCCCCAGTTCTGGCTCAAAAAATACCCCAGTGCTGAGGCTGATAACCGGGACAGAGCTTACAGAGAATGCAGGTGAACTCTCAACAAGCAATGTTAGACTTGTGAAACCTAAAGAGAAAAGTAGCAATTGCAACTTTTCTCTTATGCCTAATGTTTTTGGGGGAGATCTGACTTCTGAAGAGTGGCTTTCTTTGGCAAAGGAAACAACAAAGTTAAAGTGTGACAGGCAGTTTGCTGGCTCTCCCATTTCTTTGCCCAAGTGTCACAAAACGAAAAAGGGGACTATCCAACAGAAGTCACGTCACAAAACGAAAAAGGGGACTATCCAACAGAAGTCACAATTGCTGAAAAAGGCCTCAGAGCAGTTGCCTGGGAATTCTGTGGTGGCCTTTCCCCTTAGGGACTGTGCAGTTTCTTCCCCATCTCTGCCATTGCCTGGAATCACATCACCACTAAGGAATTTGGAAGACTTTGTATGTGCCAGTGACCCAGAACTTCCAAAAGTGTCTAGAAATTGTGCTGAAAAGGAGGTGTTCCTCAAGAAATTTCCCAAAAACTTATCAGCCAAGAGAAACCATAAAGGGGAATCTTTACTCCATACTGCTTCTATTGAGGTAAACTAACCCCTGTAATATTTTTTTCTCAGTAATATAACAATTTTTCTATTTCCCTATAGAGTAAGTGTAGAAGAGTAAAATATTTCTAAACCATTAAGTTCATATAATAGTCTACATCTTCTGTTTTCCAGAGATACCGCATTATAGTGTATGTGCTTTCTTTTGCTGTTTTGTGGATATTGTAGTCATGAAAAGAAATGCTCTTCAACATTGGGAATGCATGTAAGAATGTTTCAGTCATTAGAAGAGAGATGCTTATTATTCCTGTGTGTTGTAAAAATGTGTATAATCTTGGGTGAGTGTATATAGAAGCAACCCTAATTAAAATGTTCAAATTCCTGAAGGCAGAAGATTGGGGACTAATCTGTCCTCAGGGAGTACATGATACCAAAATATTAATGAAAAGGATGTCTTTTGTTCTCCCTTGGCTGTTGTTCCAATAAGCATTATAAGTCCGGGAGAATGCCAAATTGTATATCAGTTGCCTCAATTTGAAAAAATAAAAATGGAGCATTTTCAAGATTATCAAACCTTACAAAATATTGCCATATTTGCTATTTTATGAAATTTTAAGTAAAATTGTGCAGTTGTGCTCAGGGTATGAAAATATTGTTGGTCCCTTAAATGCTGCATCTGGTATAGCTTCAGTGGTGGGATTCCTTTTTTTTTTACTACCGGTTCTGTGGACATAGCTTGGTGGGCGTGGCAGGGGAAAGATACTGTAAAATCTCCAGGCAGAGGTGGCATTTGCCAGTTCTCCGAACTACTCAAAATTTCCGCTACCGGTTCTCTAGAACTGGTCAGAACCTGCTGAATACCACCTCTGTATAGCTTGCTATAGCATAACTGATTTTACTGGTATTTTTAAAAAAATATTTTTATTATACATTTTCCTTTGTTATACATAACGTTTCCATTTCTGCCCAATCTTTTCTTGAAAACCTCCAGCAATGAAGTATCCACAACTCTGGGATGTCCCAAAGGTGCTTTCCCAAAAGGCAACTGAACTTTCTTGGTTTTTCCCTGAAAATGTTTCGCTTCTTATCCAAGAAGCTTGCCTTTTGGAAAAGCACTTTTGGGAGAACAAGACCTGGAAGACTGAGAATCTCCATCGATAATCACCACCATACAAATTTGTTTCTTCAAGGTACCTAGTGGACTCTTCTGTCTGTCTGAGCTACTTTTCTTCCTGTCACTGGAACACTTGATGGAGATCCTACTTCAGATGCCTATGTGTTTTCTTCCAGGGGGAGGATATGAAATCAATTGTTCAACTCCAATGGCAGGGACAATCATCTTGTTTTTTTTAATCTTCTGAATGACACGTTGCCATCAATCTTCCTATTGGGCTTTATTTTTCTTTGTAGTTGTTTTTTGCTTGCTGCATTTAGTTTGAAAACAGATTTCTGCCTTTCCAAGGTATTCCTCACTTTCATAGATGAGACTCATAGTGGCTAGAACTTTCTCCTCCAGAATCTGATCAGTTTACACCAGGTGCAGGTGTAATTTGAATCCCTCTTCGATAGGAATACAAACAGTGCACCTTCAGTTTTGTTTTGCGCAGGTAACTTGATTCTTTGGAATTTTAAAGCCCTTTCTCATGGGATTTTTAGAAGTGAAATTCAAGGAACCAATTTCCTCAAATTGCAAGGTGTTTTCTGGAGACCAGTTGCACAATGAAATGAAATTCCTTCCTCCTACTTCTTTCCAAAAAGGGATTGGGGTGACTCCAAATAAAGCTGTGGTTGCGCCTCCTATAAATCCTTTTCTCAGTCATGCAGATATTGCCAAACCAAGTTAAAAATTCCAAGACTGTTATACTAGCCTAAATAAGCGAATTAAAGGGGTTCTGTCTGCACATGTATAAACCAGATGGGACCAGCATCTGGAAATAGACATGATTTCTTTAGCAATTTTGAAGATTTTAATAGCCCTAATCTTAAATCAGCCAAAATGAGTCCAGCTAAATTGATAGGCTGGTGAATCTTGCCTTCAGATGGGGAGTTCTTAGGATTTTTGTTTCTTTGCGTCTACTTCCCACTGGATATTTGTTGGAAATTAATTACAGCTGCCCTTAGTCTAAGTATCTTGTCTGAAGGGAGTTTAAATGTGATAGGAATTCATTCTTCTCTCTTTAGTCTTTTCTGGATTCCCTTGTTAGCCTGTCCTTGCCGATAGACTGATCAAGAATTTCTGCTAGCATATCACTGGTGAAATTGGCATGTAGTTTCTTTTTGTATAATTGATTTTATTATCAGATTTTACTATGTGTGACTTTTTGTTAGACACATGACAATAACATCAATTAACAATTGTTGAGGCTGCCAGAAGAGCCAAGAACCAGAACTTTGTATCTCCCTTAGCACCTGAAGCAGCAAAAGAGAAAGTAGAGAAGAAGACCCCTTGTTAATTCCTTAATTTTTTAAAATAACCTTTTCTTTGTGAAAATGGAAACAAAAATGGGTATAAGTATATAGTACATATTTGTATAGTATTTGTATTTTATTTATTACATTTAATATGCCACCCATCTCATTTGTTGGAGCAACTCTGGACTACTTAAAAATGGTAAAAAGATAAACATAAAAGTTAAAATTAGTAAGGATTAAATAGAAGCTAAAAGCTAAGGAGACAGACAATAATGGGAATGGAATTTTCTTTCGTATCCTATCAAGCACCTCTAGCACAGAGCACCCCCATCAGGGCCCCAAGCCACTTGGCAGAGCCAGATTTTAAGACCCTTCCGGAAGACCATTTTATGCAGCTATTCCAGCTTTATATGATCCAGATTGCTGATTTTAATTTCTTTTTGTGGTATATGTCTTTGTAAGCCTTTTAGCCTCTTTTGATTGAAGATTGCCAACATTTTTTGTCTTCATGAACTGATATTGTCAATTTAATTTTGAATATTTGAATACTAATTCTCCTGTGCTGGTTAATGACCACAATAAATTTAAGTAAGATTTTATTAATGTTCACCTTTTTACCATGTGTGACTCCTGATTAATTTCTTAATTTTTAAAAAATAACCTTTTACTTGTGAAAATGAAAAAGAAAACATGCCAGAGACTAATTTTAAAGCACAATAAACTCTTTTATGAGGGAAGATGATGGTGATGATTTCTATCAACCTATATATCCCACCCTAGTAATTGTAGGCAGTATACAAACTAAAGTCTAAAAACGCAAGTAGACACAGACTTAATAAAAAGAAAAAAAAACTTTTAGAGAAAGTCACTGTCTTGAAAAGTCTGGAATTAGATAAAAGGAAACGTTTCCTGTTTCGTCCTATTCCCCACCCAGCCATGGATTGTTCTATTTGGATTGCACTATTAAATAGCTGCAGCTATTTTCTGAATTTCGTATCCAATTAAACTTGTCAGTGTAATAGAAACAATCTCATGGGAGAGTAAATGGAAATTACATTTAATTCTTCTGGGACTTCATTAATTATCGGATAAATCTATACTGTTTTCATTACTATGTAGGGCTTAATACACCAAACTTAATGAAAATTAAATGAGTTCAACTTTTGGATTGTTTAAGAGAGTCCGTTAAAAGCATTTAAAATTAAATATGTCGGTGTATTTCAGATCAATCTAAACTGAAATTGCAGGGTTGTCTTTCCTATTTTACAACTTTGACACTCATAGTAAATATCCTAAAAGCACTTTGGTTCTGAAAAATGATTCCAAAGTTCGATGACTTTACACTTGAACTGCATTAATAAATTGAAACAAATGTAACCATTTGTTTGGTTAACTGGAATCCATGTTTTTTTATTACTCATTAAAAGTAAAATGAAAGCCAAAATCTCTGTTCTTGCAAACATGTCATGCACTCCTGATTTTCTGCAAAAAATTCCTCTACTTTGTGTAAGTGTACATAAATGCATACAAAGCTTATTTTTCATATGGATACCTTGAATGGGATCATGGGGCAACCGTACCAAAAGTTAGCTGTAAAATATTCTAAAACCAGGCAAAACAAAAGATCATATGGATAAAGTTACTGCTAACATGTTTAACTAGACTTGTTGATTTACAAATTAAAAAAAGTATTAAACAGCTTTTGCAAAATGATTGATCATTTTGCTTTTCAATTTCAGGCTTCTTTATAACGATTCACAAAGGCTGGGTGTCTTATAATAGCTCATTTAATGTGGTGGACTGGTTGCTTTCGTGCTGTGGAGACAATAATTTGGTCCTTAACACCAATAAGACCAAGGAGCTTATAGTGGACTATAGAAGGAATAGATCAGACATCCAGCCCTTGCTTATCAATGGAGACCGAGTGGAGCAAGTGTCCAGCTTTAAGCTTCTGAGTGTTATCATAAAAGAGGACCTGACCTGGGGTGCTCACATTGCAGCACTGGTCAACAGGGCCCAGCGGAGATCATACTACCTGAGACTTCTCAGGAAACAACAACTGAATAAGAAACTGCTGGTGACCTTATACCGCTGCACCATTGAGCGTATTTTAACTTACTGCACCAGTGTATGATTTGCCAATTGCACAGTGGCAGATAGGACAGCATTCCAGAGGATCATTGGTTGCCCTCTCCCCGCTTTGAAAGCTTTATAGTTCCCGCTGCCTTAAGAAAGTTCAAAACATTCTTAAAGATCCATCTCAACTTGGGTACCCTTTGTTTGACTATTACCATCTGGCAGACAGTACAGGATAATAAAAACAAGGACAAATAGCTGAAAAACAGCTTCTATCCCAATGTTAACAGTTGTTAACATTGCAATATTGGATTTTCAATTCAATTGTATAGAATATGAAGGATGTGTGTTTGTGTTGTATTTTTATAGTTATGCGAGGTGCAATGACAAAGTAAATAACTAATTTTAGTGATTGTCAAAGTTACAACAGCACTGCAAAAAAGTGACTTATGACCATTTTTCACATTTACAACTATTGCAGCATCCCTATGGTCACATGATCAAAATTCAGACACTTGGTAACTGACTCGTATTTATGAAGGCTGCAGTGTCCCAGGGTCATGTGATCATCTTTTGTGACCTGACAAGCAAAGTGAATGAGAAAGTCAGATTCACTTAAAATGTGTTACTAATTTAACTGCAGTTGGTTCACTTATTTGTGGCAAGAGAGGTCATAAAATTGGGCAAAATTCATTTAACAAATGTCTCACTTAGCAAACATTTTGGGATTAATTGTGGTTGTAAGTTTAGGACTACCTGTACATTCATTTTTACCATAGAAATTCTCCCCAATAATGATAATCATAGTGTTCCCCTCTTTACCTGTCCTTCATTTCACTTCATACTTTCACATAGCTATTTCGAAATAACGTACATTTATCATCATCCATATTAATCTTGATAATACCCAGATATTTTACTTTGTGAAGTGCATATCAATTGCACCCATTTAATAAATGTTTCTGAGCTTAATGAGGGGTCAGGATAGAAATAAGCATAATAATAAATAAGATATAATTTATCAAGAGTGTAATGGATATATTTGCTTTAATAATTGCTAGTCTTGTTTTGGGAGAGGACAAGTAACTGTTACCAGGTAGACTGAATTCCGAGTGGAGGCAGTCCTATGGTTGAAAATCAACACCAGTTGAATGGGTTAGTTCTGCCACAGGTCTGTTAGCATGATTACAGTTAATTTGGGTAATCATATTTTTATCATTTTATGGTACACAATTTTTATCCTAAACTTGCATTCTTTTACTGTCATTTTTTAAAATTCATAGAATATTTCAGGCATTTTTCATAATGAAGAAGAAATTAATTTTAAAAGAGGAGTAAGAAGGGGCTGTAACAATTGTATAGTTCTCTAGATGAGGGAAATAAATAAAATCAGAATATCAATTAACTATAATATATATTTATCATTTAATATAAAGGGTGATTTTTAAAAATTTGTATTTCTAAAAAACTTCCATGTTTTATTTTATTCTGTTGGATATTTGATTCCCTCTTACCTTACTGATCTTCCTATTTTTTTATTTTGGGTTTATAGATCTTCAATAAACTTAAATTGTTTGTTAAAGTTTAATAAACTTTAATGTTTTTTCATTTCCCTTTTCTAGGGTAATCTTTCTGCTGTTGAATGCTTGTTGAAAAAAGGAGCTGATCCCAACATTAAAGACTATGCTGGTTGGACACCACTGGTAATTTAAATGCTTCATTCCTTCCATTCTTCCTTTGTTCTTTATCTCACTCTTGTAGAGACTATGTGATACAGGGGGTGATTTAGATGAACTCTTTCTCAGCTTGCCCTGAAAAAGGAAAAAAAAAACTTCTTTTGTTTTAATAAGCTCAAATACTTTTGAGATCCTCTTTCTCTTGCTTTTCCTGTTATATTGTTTCTGAATAAAGATAGTTTCTTTCTTCAGGTGAATTTCTATTGCATTTTCAGATGCAAGAGAAACGGATTTTAAAAGTCTAAACAGAATCTGGAAAATGGTAAAATACATTATAGATAGTTATTTTGTGTTCATTTTTTCCTGCCAGATACTGTTAAGTTAACATAAGCTTTTTCCTTTGCTCATAGTGAAGATCCTGTAAGCTATTTCAGAGTCAGTCTTGGTTGCAATAAATAAAATTCATTTTCCTGCTTTATTAAGCTTCAGTTTTTAATTGAGCCAATTCTTATTCTGTCACTTCTATATTGGTTTTCCCCCATTCAACATTTAGCATGAAGCCTGTAATCATGGACATAAGCAGATAGTTGAATTATTGATAAGACATGGGGCGCTGCTGGATGTGACTGGGTATGAGAATGATATGCCACTTCACGATGCTGTCAAAAATGGACATATAGAAATAGTGGAACTGCTGCTTCTGCATGGAGCTTCTCGAGACGTAGTGTGAGTAATTACTGTTCCCTTCCCCCTACCCCACACTCAATCCCACTTCAGGACAGAGGAGCGTGCACTGGAAATGCGTGTTCAGGATGATGTCAGAGCATACCTTCTGACCCTCTGATGCTCAGCCCACAACTCTCCATGCCCCTCCAGGCCCGGCTTGCTGAGGAGCGGGGGGGGGCAGTCCTGATGCCTCTGCTGCCCCCTCCCCCCATGGCCCTAGCCATCACTGCCCGGCTTCCTCAAAGGCGTGCGTTTCAAAGCCAGCAGCTTGTGTCTGGAGGTGCCGAACAGTGGGACAGCTGCGAGAGCCGAGCCAGACCTCTCCACCGTCTGACTCGCCAATGGGGGTGCTTCTGTTAGACAAGCCACACACCCCCGCCACTGGGCTTTTGTTCTCAGTGCTTGGCTGGGGGAGAGCAGCGCTTCCCCACACTGCCCCTTCTTTCTCTTGGCCCCGCCAATGAGGGAGAAAGGCCAGGCTTGGGGGATGGCCCCCACCCCAGAAGATCTGCCCCCGCCATTCTCTCCCAGCCCTCTTTTCTGATGGCAACAGCAAATGTACGACGAAAGCGGAATGCTGCTGCCATGCAAAGGCAAATACAAGGGTTCCTCCCTCCTACACTAAGGCTCCACTCATCGCCACTGCCATGACAGGGCGACAGTTCTTTCATCCCTCTGCTGCAACAGGGCCACAGGGAGCCACAGCAGAGGGGTGAAAGAGCCACATGCAGCTCCGGAGCTGCGGGTTGCCGACACCTGCTCTAGAAAAAGTACAGAGAAGAGCAACTATGATGATTAGGGGTCTGGACACTAAAACATACGAAGAATGGATACAGGAACTGGGCATGGCTAGTCTAGTGAAGAGAAGGACCAGGGGAGACATGATAGCAGTCTTCCAATATTTGAGGGACTGCCATAGAGAGGAAGGGGTCCAGCAATTTTCTAAAGCACCTGTAAGCCAGACAAGGATAAACTGATCAAGGAGAGATTCAACCTAGAAATAAGGAGAAATTTTCTGACAGTGAGAACAATCAACCAACTTTCCTTTGGAAGTTGTGGAAGCTTCATCACTGGAGGCTTTCAAGAAGAGAAGCCATTTGTCAGAAATGGTGTAGGGTCTTCTGTTTGGGCAGGGGTTTGGACTAGATGACCTACAAGGTCCCTTCCAACTCTGTTAATCTAACCTGTATTAAAAATATTGAACTTTATTCTATTATTTTCAATCTACTGAGCAAATGTGAGTTAAGAAAATGAAGGGACAACACTGTGTTTGATGGAAACTTTGTAAACAAATATTTTCTTGTAAATAAGCTGCAAAAATACATGCAAAAAAAAGCAGGCATGGCCATGATAAGAGGAAAGAAATACTTCAATTCATTATAACATTCTTAACTAATCAGTTGCACTGATTTGGGCATTACTGGTAGTCCTTGACTTACAACCACAATCAAGCCTCAAATCTCTTGCTAACCAAGACAGTTAAGTGAGTTTTGCCCCATTTTATGACTTTTCTTGGCTCAATTGTTAGTGAATCTCTGCAGTTGTCAAGTTAGTAACACAGTTGTTAAATGACTCTGGGTTTCCCATTGCTTCTCAGAAGGTCACAAGAAGCGACCCTGGGACACGTGCCAGTTGCCCAGCACCTGAATTTTAATCATGCGACCTCGGGGATGCTTCAATGATTGTTACTATGAAAAATGGTCATAAGTCACTTTTTGTAATTTTGAATGGTCACTAAACAAATGGTTATAAGTCGAAGACTATCTGTACAGCATGTTGAAAATTCTGGTCAGTGCATAATATGAGATCACTAAAAGGACCTGCTTAATTAAAAGTGAGCAGTTTCAATGTGTTGCCTCCTTTTTTATATTTCTTTGCTGTTCTTTATCCATCTGTCATAAGTGTTAGTGGTTTAATTGGTTTTTTTATGCAATTTTTCTTGTAAATACATTTGAAGACCATAAAAATCCTGTAGTGCAGTTATAATTAGATGATTGGTAACCTAGTCTCATTCCTTGTTTACTTAAAATCTACCTTTCCTTTTACTAGTAATATATTTGGTCACAAACCTGTGGATTATGCTGAAACAGAAGAAATGAAATCGTTTCTAATGCAACCAGGAAAGAATGATTCTTCTTCAATTATACAGTATGCAGAAGTATGTATCCTTTTCTTTGTTTAACTATAGTTTGAAATAATATAAAGCTAGCCTTGTTAAGTGAGGGCAATTTCTAATTCTCAACAATATTATTTGTAATACTTCTCACTATTTTATCAAAGTACCTAAGTCATAAGAAATGAATTATAAGTTAAGAAAAAGTTATAAACCAGAGGTTCTCAACTTTTCTTTTATGTGATGTTATGTAACCATTAAATCATAGAGAGCCATTGCCTGATCAAAGAAACTAATTAATTTTGGCTCTCCCATGCAAGTAAATAAGCAGAGCATAACAAAATAATGTAGCAAAAATGCAATAATAATATTATAAAATGAAGTAACAAAAAGAGTGTTAGGCATAAGAAAGTTAGGCAAGATAAAGCTAGATTTACAACTAAGAACTTAAGTATTTTTCTAAGTTTACAAGAGAGCAAAGTAGCAATCCGACTAACATTTGGAAACACAACTTTGAAAAATTAGTTCAGTTCAAGGCATGAGGCCTTGAGTTTACCTACCATCAATAATTTGGCCTGGATCTATCAATGAGGCAGTGGAAATAATAATAAACACCGTAATGTCTGGCAATTGACCAACCCCACAAGGAGAGAGACATGATATAACGGTATTTAAAAAGATCTCCCTTTGAGATAGTCTAAGGTCATGATTTGTGGGCGAAGGGATGTAGAAGACTTTCAGTGAGAAACTGATAATATTAATCAGGTACTAAGAGAAGTTTCTATGTCTTTTATGGTGATGTTACCAAAATTAAAATTTGGATGACTCTACTGTAGTGATATCTTTATTGGCATTTCTTTTGGAAAGCCTCACTCTAATATTTTCTCAGTTCCAAGAGATGAGTAGGTGGTAGGGAATACATTTAGGATGGATGACAAAGGTTTAGTCCACTGATTCCAACTGTGTAATGAAGCAAACAGAGTTTGGCAAAGTGGGATTCTGGAAAGTTTCTAATTTCTTATAATGTCTTAACCACACAAGATCCATTCTAGCAATGATGGAAGGTAGTCTTTTCTTCAGCCTTAGATAAGGAGTGGGGGTGCTCTGGAGGAGGCCTAAAATGAGACAGCCTTGTGTGACTCCTTTCTCCAAATAAATAGGATCTTACAAGGACCCTTGTGGGACTATTATTACTCTAGCTGAAATGTCAGTATGTAATTCAATTATTAATTTGAGACGTCACCTACTGATGTCTTGTCAGATGCAGAAATGTTACTGTGTACATTCAGATAAAATATTTACGTAATAGTATGAAAAAAAATTACATTGTGAATAACATAATCCTTAATATTATGCATAATAAGTACTAAAACTAAAGATGCATCATTTCAACTGTTTGAAGATGTTTTGTTTTTCTGAAGATACAATAAAGCTGTACCCTAATTGGCTATATTATCTACCAGTTGAATTGCTGTGGGAATAATCGGTTTTTCAGAATCTCATGGAAAAATTACTCTATATAGCTATTGAAGATGTCCTAAGCAACAAAAAATGGCTTTGGTCATAAGAATTAAGAGTGCAAGTTTCTGAGTAAGGAAATTGTGAACTAGATGTCTCCAAAGAAGTAGAAGAGACGCTCTGACAGACCAGCAATGAGCTCAGTCAAAAGGAACTTCTCCAGATAAAGAAGCAGATGAGTTACTTGTGTTCTGGATAGCAGCTCCTCATGAGGAGACTGCAGAATAGCAATTTCCCTTGGAATTAGTGCCAAGAGATAAGGAAAGCCATCAAGTTCTCAACTGTGGTATGGGCTTTATGGGCAGTAGGTTTGTTGAACCTCACATTGTAAACAATACATTTGAAACAGTGATGGGATTAATTTTTTTTTAACTACCGGTTCTGTGGGCGTAGCTTGGTGGGCGTAGTTAGGTGGGTGTGGTCATGTGATTGGATGGGTGTGGCTTTTTTGGCAGCCACTCCCCCACCCGGTTTTGAGGCCTTCTGGGCCTCAGAGGAGCCTCTGGGGGGAGGTTGTTTTTGCTCCCAGAAGGCTCCTCGGGCTCAGGAAGAAAAAAAATGGAGTCTGGAGGGTGCACACAGAATCCCCCAGCTTCGTTTTGGGACCTTCCTGGCCTCAGAAGACCCTCTGTAGGGTGGTTTTGCTCCCAGAAGGCTCCTCTCGGACTCAGGAAGAAAAAAAACAGAGCATGGTAGGGGCACGCAGCACCCCTCCATGCTCCGTTTTGGGATCTTCCTTGTCTCAGAAGAGCCTCCAGGAGGGGCGTTTTTGTTCCTAGAAGGCTCCTCTGGGGCTTAGGAAGGGAAAAAATGGAGGGGGGGGCTGAACCCCTCTCTCCATTTTTTGCCTTCCTGGGCCTCAGCAAGGGGAATCCTGGCACAGCTGATCGTATGAACAGCTGATTGTTGGGAGGGGGGAAAAAAGAAAGAAATACCTTAAGGGCAAGCATCAGGCGGGCAGGGTGAGCAAGCATCGGGCAGGCAGGGCAAGTGAGCCAGCGGAGACCGGGAGACCGGGTTGGGGGCATGGCCAGCCAGAACTTACTACCGGTTCGGCGATCCATGCCAAATCCTTGCTACTGGTTCACTGGATGAGGTGCGAACCGGCTGAATACCACCACTGATTTGAAATGTAAAATTGAAAGAGCTTTTCAAATAATGAGTTTAAAAAGCTACCTTGTGAATTAACCTTTCTTTCAGTACAAAAGTAAAATGAACCAACAGCTTAAATATTTTTTTAAATTGAGGTAAATAGCAATTTAATCTAAAAAAGTTACAGGTGAATTAACCAAACAACTTTTGCTAACTGTTTTGGGAAATAATTAAACCAAACAGTACCTTTATGGGTATGTAAACTGTTTAGTCTGTAATAGGAATTTGAGATTTTCCAATTTTAGAAATGAAACATTAAGCACTAGACAGTAAAAGAAGGGGAGAGAAACCTATATTTTGTGGAATCTACAAAATGACACACAATGCTATAACATTTTGAAAGATTTTGGGAGATTTTAAAGGAATCGGTTCAGAAACCACAATATCAGCAGCAATGCTTGCTTTTAAGGATGTATTATTTAACAAAAGATTTTAAAGAAGAAATGGAAGACATGAAAGAGAGTATTTTGTAAGACTGACAAGATAAAAGAGGTAAACAAATATTACCTGATGCAGATACACTGAAAAATAAATTCTGAATTATAAGACAGAGATGACAGACGTAACTTTATTATTGGATTTACAAATGAGGGTTGATAAAAAAAAAACTTGAAGAAACCTTTGAGATGAAAGAAAAAAAAGATACAATTGAAGGGAGATCAAATCCTACAAGTTTCTGAATGAATTAAAGGACTAAGATACAGAATCTTAAGTAAACTGCAAAATCGATTTGTTTAATTGGATTAAAATAAGACATATTTTTATAAAATTCTGAGAACCTTTTACAAACTTCTTGCAGACATCTGAACTGAAATATTAACTGTTCATGAATTTATGAATGGGCAAGGGATGGTTATGGGAAGAAGTGATCCATGTATGTAACTTTCGTGGAAGGTGGAAAAATGTTACATTTGTTATACATGTGATGGATATTGGAATTCATTTCTTTAAATAATGCTTTTTAAAAACTTTCTTTGCACATTTTCTTTTCTTTTTTCTATTTTTTCTCCCAATTTGTATTTTATTGTTAAAATCCATAATAAAAAGTTATATATTGATATAAACATAAATGGCTTTGATAATCACAAAGGGCTTCTGGTCCTATTAAAAGATAAAGGGAAACCTTTACCTTTTAATAGGCCAGAAGCATTTTGTGTCTGGCTCTAGAGCACAGAGCTCATCTACCTTTCTTGGTCAAGGGAGGCAATGTTGTCCGAAGACGATTTCCATAGTCATGTGGCCAGCATGGCTATATGCCAAAGGTGCACAGAACACTGTTTCCTTCCCACGAAAGTGGTACCTATTAATCTACTCACATTTTGCATGCTTTCAAACTGTCAGGTGGGCATGAACTGGGACACATTCCTGCCCACCTATTGTGGCCAGCTGGCAGCTGGCAGCAGAGTTGGACAACGAGGAGGTCGGGGAGGAACCTGGGCCAGTCCTGGAGACTGAGGAGACTCAGACGAGGGATCTGTGTCAGAGGCAGAGATGGGGCCAGGGCAGGTTGGCAGTCATCAGCTGCCTTTGGGCTCAGACAGCAGTGAGGCAGGGGAGCAGCTGGAACTGGTTCCCAGCCTGCGCATGCACAGAGCTGCCAAAAGGAAAGAACAATTACGAACTTAGGGTCGATGTGGGAGTAAGGCCACAGGTGGATGATGAATGGCCCCTCTCATAAGGATTAAAAGAGGAGCAAAAGGGGAGGGGGGCTTTTGCAGGAAACAATTTGTTTGTTCGTTCCATAATTGTGAAGATCTGTCTGTGCATTCTGGAGACTCTGTGCTAAGCCCTAAGCTTTCCAAGATAGATAAGGTTTGAGCTCCTAATTATACCCTTGAGAGACTGTTTGCCAGGCCATTGGCTGAATGTGAATGCAAGAAATTCACATTTGTTTAATAAAAGGTGTTTGGTCAGGACAAAGAGTCTGCCTAGTGCTTTTGGGGGAAGCCTAGGACAGAACACCGCCTATCACTGATGATGTTATCTAGTTTATGTAATAAAACATCAGCAAGAAAACAAGCAAGCTCAGAGAGCACCAATGACCCCTCATGCCAACCCAGAGGTACAGATATTCTCCTTTATTAGTACTGGGGCAAGTAATGTGGAGGTTCAGTCTTGAGCCCAGGCTGCCAGCTGTCTAGCTGACAAACTCAAATACATTTCATCTACTTTTAATTATGTCAAAAATTATGCTTATTTTGAAATAGTTCTTTATTATGTAATAGAAATGTTGAGTAAATTTGAGTTTACTATTTTTTTAAAAGGAAGAAAGAAATATAGGCTGTTGGGAATTTAATAGCTCTCTCTTTTGTCTTTAGTGCAAAAACCTAAATTACTGTAAAAAAGGACCTGTTGTTCTCCTTGGGAGTGGTCTTGATCCAGATCAACAGCTGCTGTTAAGCAAATTGGCCACAATTTTGAAGGTTACAGTATGTACAGATTTTAACAACTCTGGTAAGTTGTTAGATTTATTTAATATAATAATACTTTATTGTTTAGCCATAAGGCTATACAAGATACAGAATTATATAATAAGACAAGGATAGCAAAATACAGTAAAAGGCAAAACTAAAAGGAAATACAAATTGTATTTCTGGATCACCTCTCATAATTTGGGGAATGTACTGTTTTGTTCACATAAAGAGCCAAATTATGCATATATGGGTTCTGAATACACATTAAGTATATTGTATTAATGTTTAGATCTCAATAGGCCATTTGTTTAAAATGTGATCTAAGATATTGATCTCTATCTTTTTTACACAATTGGCATTCAAATAATGTATGAACTATGTCTTCTGCATCTGGAATTCCACCAATACATGTACATTTATCATGAGGAACTTGGTTAAACCTTCCATATTTAACAATTATGTTCAGTTACTCAAATCTTGCTTGAGTAAGTATCTCCCCGCCAAGATTCCCAACCATTTCTGTATTTAATCATTTTACAAATTATATTTAAGGTGCATTTATAGCAGCTCACCCATTTTAATGTGCCAGCCTTACTGAGGGTAGCTATATTTCTCTTAGCTTCTATATGCAATTTTTTTTTGTGTAGCAATCTTTCTGGCTTGTTTTGCTGAGTAGCCCAAGAAATAGGGTAATCACAACTCCTAATATAGTTTGTAGGTTATACAATCCAGGAGTTCTCTAATTGAGATTTATGGATAGTTTTCATTTAACCTCTTAATGACCCCCATTGAGATTGGCAAGTCTGTTATTACGTGACATAGTTGTTAAGCAAAATTCATGTAAACATACTGCTTAGCTATGGCAATTCTAGCAGCCCAGGTACTGTTGTTGAACAAATCTCAGGTGATCATTGAGCAAGGACCCTCTTGTATCCAAGCCATTTTTGGAAGAAAGTAAAGGACTGCCTCCACTTTAGTTCCACCCACCCACCAGATCAGCCCTTTTCATCATCTGCCACCAACTCTGCCCACTGCTGTGCCCGCTGCACCACACATTACTAGGTGGACCCTTCTTTTGGCTGCTGGCCAGGGCTTTCTTTCACAAAGAACATTACTGCCTTTGAAAAAGGCATACTCTTGAATCTGTCACTGTTGCAGCTTTGCATGTAACATGATTTTTTATGTTAGTTTGGAAGTTTCAATCAGTTTCAAATAAATGAACTGGATTGCATAATATGATCTTATTAGGATAATGTTTTGTGGTTCTACTGTCTTCCATCCTCATTTTGGGTACAATTCAAGGTTTTTATGCTGACTTTTAGAGACTTGAATTCTTGAAGCCAGAGACTTTCACAGAATGTATTCTGCCTTACTTGAGTGGCCATATCAAATGGAGCAATATATAAAGCAAGAAACAGAAGAAAATGCTAATGTGTTTTCAGCTCCAGAATTTCCCCCTCAGCATTTCCATAAACATTGCTTTTAATTTGATTTTAAATGCCTGATCTAAAGTGGAAGAATATATTTTAAATTTCCTGTGCTATTTGCTACTAACATTTATTATTTTGGTTTCTTTTATTATTGTAAACTTGAGGGTTATATATTCCAGTATAGGAATCTACTATTATAGCATCCTTGACAGACCATTCAGCTTTTGTGTAAACAAGTCCAGAAAATGAGAATCCATCCTCTCTTGAGACAGTTCTTGTTATATTGAAAGCTCTTAATGTTCAGAATTTTTGCCTAATGTCCAATTTATTTCTACTTCCCTGTAATTAATGCAAATATTTTGGAACTCTTTGACCACAGAATTTTATCTATCAGATTATGGAGTAGATTATGATATAATGATAACTGTAACATATAGATAAGAGGGATACCTAAAAATATACATAATTAATTTTCTCAATTCGCATGGTTTTCTGTTCCAGTAACTATTTCTCAGAGATTGAAAACTTTAAAATAATGGTGATAGAGTTCTATACTTTTCTGCTGATATTTGGCAGTTTTCCATTTCCCTATCTTCTTAAATCACTCCTCACCCATTCAAGGAACCTCTGAGCCCGTGGGGTATAAGAAGCTTTTCAAACAATATAATGCTTCTCTTCCTTTTGTGGGAACTATTCTGCCTGTATTGTTGGCTAGTGGCTGTAAAACTGAATTATTCTCTGAATGTGAAGGATCAGATCAGTTGTGGTTTGTTTACACAGGGAAGAATTCATCCTGCAGTTTATACATTTTAACAAACTCTCATTTTAGTGACACATGTTGTTATTCCTGCAAATCCTGTGCGAACTACTATGAAGTGCATGCTGGCACTTTTATCTGGATGTTGGATCTTGACATTTATGTGTAAGTAATTCAATTTGGGGGGTATTTAAGAAAAACATGTTTGAGGTGATGGCACAAAGATAACAGGAATGTGCCTATTTTTCAACATGCTTCAACACTTCTCAGAAGCAATAATCCTAAAATTGTGCAAAATATTTTGAACATTTCCAAGCATACAACAGTTATTCCAAGTTCATGGCAGGATAAAGTGTATTCAACCATTTTGTTTTGAGAGCGGTATAAAACGTGTAGTTATTATAACTGATTATCAAAAATGCTTACAAGATAGCAGTAAACAAGATTCATAATATGCTGATTTTCCCATGGTAGATTAACAGTATTATGAAAATTAAATGTGTGTGCCATTTGAAAGAGTAAATACCTATTCACAATTGGATAATTCAAATTTATCTTAGAGAATGGTTATGACTCCACTCTGCTGCTGTTTAGAAAATCTATGAAGATCTGACTCTTCACCCAGGAGAGATAAAGGCTACTTGCAAAAACAAATTCCAGGAACATACTTCAAGAGTAGAAAATTGGCTCACATTGTTTGGTATTTTTGCCATATAATATGTAGCATTCCTTTTATTATAGCATCTTCTGCCAACTGCATTCTGTACTTCTTTGTATAATGATATGTTCTTTTTAGATTTATGAAAAATATCCCTGATAACTAAAAGGCAAATTAATATTGTATTAATATTTAAATTTGTATTTAACAGAAAGATAAAAAGGATAAGTACAAAAAAATGGAAAGAGGGACACTTACCTAAGTCAGAATATGAGCAGTTAGCCTGAATCTGCTCAGAATGAACAAGGATTTGCAACAAAAGTTGAAGATAATTTTAAAGTTTCTTTCAACATATAAATAATAATTTAAAAAGTCAAGGAAACAGTCAAAGAAACAGTCAGTCCACTAAAGAGAGAAGATGGTAAGAAAGTAACAGGCAGTAGAGAAAAAGCAGAGCTGCTTAACACATTCTTTGCATTAGTCTTTACGCAGAAGAAACTATAGCCCAACCTGTCAAAAACATAACTGTAAAAGACAGACTAGAAATAAAAATTAAACAAAAAATGGTAAGGGAACACCTGTCTGACCTTGATGAATATAAATCACTGGACCTGATCGATTGCATCCCAGAGTTCTGAAGGAGCTGACAGATGTTATCTCAGAATCATTGTACCATATCTTTCAAAAATCCTGAAGCACTAGGGAACTACCAGATAATTGGAAAAGAGCTGATGTGATTCCCATCTTCAAAAAAAAAAAAAAGTGTGTGTGGGGGGGAGGGCACAGACCCAGGAAACTATAGACCAGTCATCCTAACATCAATATTTGGGAAGTTACTGGAAAAAATAATTAAAAAAAACACAGATCTGTGAACATCTAGAAACAAAGTTATAACTAGTAGCCAGCACAGATTTTTTTTTAAACGGATCATATCAAGCCAATCTTATTTCATTTTTTGACAAAGTGACTAAATTAGGAGACCAGCTAAATGCTGTGGACATAGTACACTTAGACTTCAGCAAGGCATTTGGCAAAGTAGACCACAACCTACTTCTTAGTAAACTAAAAAAATGTGGGATATGTCACCACCAGATGGATTTGTAAACTGCCTGACAAAATGTATTCAACAAGTAGTCCTTGATGGTACTACATCTACAGGGAGGGAAGAAAGTAGTGGGGTGCCACAATGTTCTTAAAGTTTTAAAGAAAAGGCTGGACTAGAAGACCTCCAGGGTCCCTTCCAGCTCTGATTGATTGACTAATTTGATTACTTAACTCTCATATGGTATTGAGCCTTTCTCTTTGCCTGGCACATGTTCTAGCCAATCATCTGTCCATCTGTTCATGATATTTTTTCCTAATCCTTCAATTTCCCCTCCCGAAATCCACTTCTGGATTTGCAGAAAATAACATTTTCTTTTTTTAAACTTTCTTGTCCAACTTACAGGGGTAGAAGCCAGCTTGAGGAGTGGCACTTTCGAACCAGAAGAGAAATATGAAGTAGATGGTGGTCCTCGACAAGGCCGCCTGAACACAGAACAGCTTGTGAGGACTTTATCAGTGTCTGAGTCTTTTTTTTTCCAGACAAGGGAAGAAGAAAATGTTTGAGAAATAGCTAAATTAAATTAGAAATATAATTTAAAACTATAAATTGATTTTTATTGTGAATAAATGTTCCTAAATATTGAGGGTTTAAGTTTTGGAAAAATGTTTAGAGCTATTACCTGAAGTAGAATGGATTCACCTTTGATAAATTTTAGTACATCAGTAATTTTGGTTAGCAAAAACTGTTTGGTAGCCTCCTTCCCCTGTGTATGTTGTTATGCAAACATGAATATTGTAGTTAGTATGTTCTACTGAACCTTAAATTTGTTTCTCCTCCCACATCTAGAAATATTTTGTAATCATTTCTTAATTAAGAATAAACACATGCACACCAAGTTCAGATTATTTTTAATCAATATATGAAGTTATCTCTACCTGTTCCTACCAGTTTCTTCTGTTGAATTTTTTTGTTCATTTGCTATACCTCATTTCCACAACATAACTAATGTGAATTTTTTTTCACAAGACCTTTTTGTTTCCTTTTTCTCTCTCATTCCATTTCTTCTATCCACAGGGCTGTTCACTCCTTTTCTATTGCTGAGAATAGGGCATATGTCTGTTTTCCTTCTTTGAAACCATATCTCTTGTTTGTTGTTCTGTTCTGTCCCATTTTGTCAATTCTGGGCTCCTGTTTCTATCTTCACCCATTTTTTTTCAGCAGCTTCTACTCCTTAATTTGTTGCTAGTTGAAAAAAATGTATTATTAGTTGCACTGTAACTCACAGATCAACAGATTATTAAATAAGAAATTATGGCTTTATCTTGGAATTGTCAGCTGCATAGATGAGAATAATCTATTCTTTATTTCAGCTTCCAAAGCTTTTTGATGGCTGCTACTTCTATTTCCTGGGAATATTTAAAGAGCACAAGAAAGATGACCTCAAAGAACTGGTGAAAGCTGGAGGGGGACAGATTCTCCTAAGGAAGCCTAAATCAGATAATGATGTGACTCAGACAATCAATACAGTAGCCTATCATGCTGAGATTACTTCTGACCAGAGTTTCTGTACACAATATATAATCTATGATGCCTCTTCTAACTACAAACCACAAAATGTTCGTCAAGGAAAGGTTTGGGAAGTGCCCTCCAGGTGGCTTATTGACTGTGTGATGTCATTTCAACTGTTGCCTGTTAAGAAATGATTTTCCTAGCATTATGGTGACATAAAAGTTGAGATTTAAATTTTACATAAATTTTATTAAAAGATACTGAAATTATGTACTGAAACAAAAACTTCTGTGTAGAAAGGTTGTATAAAATTGAGTCACTCTTCAAATCTTAAAATGTATATTTTTTTAAAAAATAATAACTGAAGATTCAGATTCCCAAAATTTATTGCATGCTGATATTAGGGGAGCTTTCCTTTTTTTTGTTTGTGTTCTACAAATTATATTAATTATTATTGTATATACTGAAATTATAATAATTCTGCACTGAAATCTTACAAAATCTCAGAAAGCTTGGTTACTGGTTACTGTGATCATAATATGAGCCTCAACATGCCCAGATTTTTTTTTCATTCTTTATATGGTGAAATTGTCACAATTTGTTTAAAGAGATTACTTATATCTATAATCATGATTATGTTCTGCTGAGAGATTTGTTTCCCTTTAATGTTTTCTATATCACAAATAAATCACGTTCTTAAGCATTAGCATGAAAGACCTTTATTTAAATATAAGCTTCATTTATGTGTGAGAAAGAGGGAAAGAAAGTACTCAATATAACAAAACCTCACAACCAGTAAAGAGCTTGCACTATAATCAATTTTCAGCAATCAGTAGAGTCCTTTCAATTATAGGCCAGGGTTGAATTGAATCAAATGGTTTTACAACTTGAAAAGATAGGAGTCAGTTTTCTCACCAGGGGGGCAATTTGCAGCCATCCAGATATTAATGGAGACTAATGCAAGTTATAGTTCAACTTCACATTCTGTTACCTTTCCCTCTTTTAATCTTTAATTGAAGCATTGACATTCTCTGGACATGTATGTCATCTTACAAGGCACAAGAATCAATATTTCTATAAAGAACCTGTAGCCTTACAGATATTGGATTTCTTCCAGCCCCGGGCAGTATGGACAATGCTTTGAAACAATAACATTCTATTTCATAAATTCTACACTGTATTTCCACTCTCTCATCTTCTGACTTAAATGAAAGAACTGTATTTTTTAATTGTTTAGGGAGATGAATAAGAGTAAATGCTAGACACAGTTATCTTGGACTAGTTACATGTTGCCTCTTATTCTAACTACTAACTCTTCACTTTTCTTCTGTCCAGCTGCCTTTTAGCAGAAGGAAAGCATCTCCTCTCCAGCACAATAATACCACTTATGCTAAATTACCTGTTATAATACATTCATCAAAAATTGCAGGAAAAATGCAATGGCAAGAAGAAGAGTAGAGAAATACTGTACCTCTGCCTCAGGCAGAAACAATGAAGGAAAGCTGACTCTGCTATGTTTTTTTTTTACTTTATTGGGGCCTTATAAAATCACTTTGAGAATTTTAAAAGTGTACTTTTCCAATTACAGTGCATTCAGAAAGTATTCAGACCCATTTCAATTGTCAATTTTGTTATGTTGCAGTCTTTCTACAATTGTTGAAATTCATTTTTTTCTCATTAATCTACATTCAGTACCCTATAATGACAGAGTGAGAACAGAATTTTAGAGATGTCTGTAAATGTATTAAAAAGAAAAAACTGAAATAGCCCATTGGCATAGTATTCAGATCCTTTGCAAAAACACTTTATATTTAGTTCAGCCTCCCAGTTCTTTTGATTGTTGCTGATGTTTCCACACCTTGATTGGAGTCTACCTGTGGTAAATTAAATTGATTGGACATGATTTTGAAGCTGTGACTTCTGTAGAGAGGTACACGCCTCTGTAGAAGTCATAGCTGACAATACATACCATAGCAGAGCAAAAACCATGAGGTCAAAGGAACTGCTTGCAGAGCTCAGAGACAGGATTATTGTAAGGCGCAGATCTGGGGAAGGCTATAATAAAATTTCTGCTGTCCTGCAGAAAGAGAGGGTTTTGCTCAGATTAGGAACTATATTATACGGCAGTAGTCCTTACAGGGATCAAAGATTGGGTAATGTTGAAAAATAAAAGAGTATTGACAATTGAAGAGCATGACTTACAATTAGGGTGGCATGCATTTTTATGGGATGGGAAAAACAAGATGCATAGTTACTTCCAAAGACACCAAATAAGAAATGCATTGCTATTAATTTGGGAAAAGATTAAAATAATCATCATGACAAAATTCTGATCTAGTTATCAACCATGGAAGCATCAATATACTCAAATGCACTTCTGGGTTGAGTCCTCCTCGCTGACGGACTGTAGGTCGTGATCATCCGCGGCTACAGCCCGTGCTTTTTTGTCGGAGAGCCCCAATCATTGTGATTAGGGGCTGAAGCTGCCTTGGAGGGGCAGTGGAGAAAGGGGAAACCACCAGCCAGGTTGAGGGAGCCGCATCTCCCTCTCTGGGTTTGGCAATTTTTAACCCCGAAGATGACTGAAGCGGTGGTCTAAAATGGCCACCCCGAAGAGGAGGACTCAGCTGCACTAAGTTTGTGCAGGAGTGAAGAAAGAGGTGGATAGCATGTGAGCCGGGACAATTGGGCTCAACAACCAAATAAAAGGTATCCCGAGATTAATGTAACAATGAATTTCTAAAAAAGAAAAAAAAAGCAGCGGAATTACAAAGGGAAAAAAAGAAAAATAACTGACAGCTAAACAGGGCTTTGAACTGGGAAAGGAAGAAGTTGGAATAAGATACTTAACTGAATTGGATTAAAATAGTTTGGCAACAAACAGGCATAAATTAAAGCTGGACATAAGAGTGTCAAAAAAAAAAACAAGGTGCGGGGGGGGCAAATATACAAACTGGAGATTTGATTGTTTTGGAATATTGAGGCTCAAAAAGCCCTGAATAATAAAGCAGGGGGAAAAAGGTGAAAATTTTTGCACAACGGAGAGTGCCATCTTGTTGACAAAAATTCAAATTTAAAAATAAAAGGGAAAAGATCCAGTTTTTTTATGAACTTGAGTTGATACAATGTTAAAGAAATATTGAAACAAAACGAGAACCCTAGAAAGTGAAAGTTGAACTAGAATAAAAGAAGTAAGAAAAGATTGACTGCAGGACCAATTGGTGATTTTGGTATAGACCCAGTGTTGGAATAATTGTGACTCTAGGAGGCCTGAAGAAGAAAGAAGGAAAATAAAAGTTTTTGTGGATTTTAATGATTATAAAATATAAGAGTGTTCAACGATATCTCTCCAGGAACTTAAAAATATGAAAAACTTACTACAGGAAAAAGGTGAAGCACTTGGCTTTGTTTTAAAAGCTATGGAAATTGTGATTGAAGAACATGAAGAAAGAACTTCAGAGAAGGAGGAGTTAGTTCAAGGAGAAGCCATCTTAAAACAGAATTAACACAACACCACAAAGAAGAGGGAAAAGGGGGGTTAAAAATTTGAGATTCAAGAAGGTAACTAAAAAGGGGAGTACCTGTGAAATTAGGAAAGGTAGAAAGGAACAGCAGAAACGGGGAAAGGAAGACAAAGAGGGAGAGGGACACACTGAAAGAAAAGATGGGAAAATGAAGGGGAAGAGAGGTAGTGAGAAACAGGAGTAGGAAATAAATATGGGAATTGTATCCACATGGAGATGAGGGGTAATAATACATTTGCAATTACAAAATATTTAGAAAATAGGGAAATATAGATTATCAAAGGAGGGATGGACACTGATATTCTTTACTAGGTGAATGTATATTTTTATTTTTATCTTTAAAAGAAATGTTAATGTTTATTAAATAAATTCAAATAATTGAAATGAACTATGAGGATGTTTAAAAATGAGATTAATATCAGTGACCAAGATTAGTTTAATGGACTATTTTTTTTTTCTTATCTTGGTTTTGAAACTATAAATAAATTCTATGAAATTAAAGGGGAAAAATACATTGCGGAATCTGACTAAAAACATACATAACGTTATGTAGGGTTTTTTTAGGGAATGACTATTATAATTAGTTAAAAGTAAATGTTTATTGGGAATTAAGATGAGGGAATTAAGGTATATTTTAACCACTGAGGCGATACACTCAAATTAGTAAAAGTGGAGGGGAGGGGACATGTTTTTTTTTCTCTTGTGTTAAAGCTTGTATTAATTTAGAATTTATGGAAAGAATATGCAATGAAATTGCAAATCTGACAGATAAAAGAACTATTTAAATGAGAAAAGAGTATTTTGGAAAAGGTAACAATAAAAGTATTTGTAATAATAAATTAGTCAGTTAATAAGGTTATATAGATTATTGAGAGGAAGGAGGGACATTGATAATTTTTATTAGGTGAGTGCATATTGTTATTCCAATTTTTAAAAGAAATATTAATGTTTAAGAAATATATTTGCAATAATTGAAATGAAATGAGAAGATGTTTAGATTGAGACCAATATCAGAGACCAGGATTAATTTGTTTGGTTTTTTTCTTCTGTAAAAGTTGGAATGAAAAAGGTAATAATCGAATTAAGCTTCCCAGCTTCAGCTCACCAGTTATCTTCAAAGCTTGACTTCTAAAACAGCTTGCAGGATGTTGCTGTTATCAGAGGATCTTGAAGGATGATTCTGAGACTCTCCTTAATCCCAGAGAGTCAAATAAACAAAAGGGAACCTGTTTCTTCTGTTAAATTGGAAAAACGACAGTCCAGAGAGAGGAGATTCTCTGGATGTGTCTGCTGCTGGCCAAGTCTTCACCAGAAGGCAAAGCCAGCCAATTTTCATAGCTTTAATTTAGTTGGATAGCATAGTTGTGTATTGTTCACCCCACACCACATACCATTAGAACAGCCAAGTGTCAAGGCAGAAAAGCAGCTATATACATGGCCAGAGAAAAAAACATATTCACAATATTTTACAACTGGGATAAAAAGATACTGCTTGTTTTGCTCTCTGTTGAAGATATACAGTACAAAGCCGAATGATTTGATGTTATTAAATCTTGCTTTCCTTTTCTTATTTTCATTTATGGGTGCAGGAAGTACACCAAAAGGACAGTGCCAGAAACATCACAGCACCAAAAACCTCAGAAAACAGTGCCAAGAAACTTAAGCCAGCCCTTCCCCCTTTAAGAAAACCAAGAATCACCAGCTGAAAGAAAAAACTTAGAGCAGCCCTACTAACAGAGTTGACAATATAAACACTTAAGTACAGCCATTAAGATAAGGAGAATCAGAAGAGAATAGAGAATCAGAGAATAGAAACTAGAAACTCTAGCTGTGTCACTACTTTTCTTGCCTTCCTAAATTAAAAGATCCCTTTTCTGGCAGGTGGCTTCTATGTCTATTTCTTCTCAGCATTAGCAGAGGTGGTATTCAGCAGGTTCTGACAAGTTCTGGAGAACCGGTAGCAGAAATTTTGAGTAGTTTGGAGATCCGCATATCGCACCTCTGACTGACCCCTCCCCCATCGATTCTCTGCCTCCCGAGTCCCACCTGATAGGCTGGGTCTTGTTTTGTTGCCCTGCACAGGAGAACGGAGCTGGAAAGCAGGTTAGTGGGGGTAGGGAAAGAATGAGATTTTGCAGTATCCTTCTCCTGCCATGCCCACCAAGCCACACCACGCCCACAGAGCTGGTAGTAAAAATGTTTGAATCCCACCACTGAGCATCAGTTACTGCTTCCCAGCTAGGAAACGAACACAGGAAATTTCTTCCAACATGAGGATCTGTAATTGTTCAGTAGAAAGAATGAGGGTCTATATACTATAGAAAATATACATAGGTTACTAGGGCTCAAGGTTTAGGCCACTCCATGTAAGAATCAACACTTTGCATTGGTTTTGGGAAGGAAGCTCCAGCTAATTCACATCAAAAATTATTGCAGTAATGTTTTTAGACTTGGGCCAAAGCATATGAGTTAAGAAAGCTGAAAAGGCTTTTTAAAGTCTTAAGGAAGTTTTGTTTTAAGCTAGGTTATTTATTTGAATACCCTATTGAGTGTCCTTGAGAGGGGTTGTTCATGGTATTGTTCCCCTGTAGCTCAGCTGAATATAAGCAGGTACAGAAGTTTGGATCAACTTTGTAGTATTTGACTTCTTCCTAAAAGCTGTCTAATGGTGATTAGCACCTTACCAAGCAACTACAATTAGTTTTGCTCTGCTAAAGCACTACACTCACATAGAAGTGAGGGGGTTGGTTCCCATTTTCAAATACCTTTGGAAGCAGGTTTATGAGATTTTGAAACACTGTCTTTCTAGAAATTTAGCTGAATGGAAAACTGATTCAAAAGTCTCATTTCAACCAGGCCAAACTAGATGGAAGAGATGACTATGGGTAACATGTGATTTAATTTGTGGTTCATAGAGTAGGACCCTCAGTTCTGCAAAAGCAATGTGTGGAGGGACCAAAATCATTCATTCTAGCTTAAAAAAAGACCAATTGGAATATATATTCAAATAATAAAATATTTTGGATGGAGTCCTTCACTGACCTGAATGATGAATGATGGCACAGTTAGAATTTTGAGAGCATATCAAAGCTACTTTCACAGAATGGCCATCAAAGAGTCAGAGATCTAAGCCAATTTCAGAAACTTGCCTTCTGCCCCTTACTACGCCCTGCCACTCCAGATCATTATCATGTTTGCTTTTGTGAACAAATAAACAGGTCACATGTGCCAGGCAAGTACTTAGTTGCAACCACCCACCATTTTTATTTACAAAAATCCAGGTATGTGTGTGTGTGTGGAAATAGAGGCATGTTTTGTGAATACTGTTCTAGAAATGTCTTGAAACATTTTAGCTTACCATTTTCTAAAATGAAAACTTAATAGACATAAAATCTTTGCAGAAATCAGGCATTGGTATCACTTTATATACTCTTACTTCAGAGTCCCACCTGCAGCAGATTTTATACTCATAAACAGCCTGACATAAAGCATATTGTATGATTACACTAATAAAGCCTGGAAATAAATATTTAGTGATTGCTGTCCAAATAAAAGAATACTTCAAGTATAATACACTGGGGTTTGAAGAAGATAAACAGTAATGGACCACCTACAGTATTTCCCCTGGAGTCCCGCACCATCCAATCAAATTATTTCTGACACTCTCAGAAAGCATACTGTGAATGCTACTAAACATAGCAAAATTATGGCAGGTGAATTTTCTGTCTAGCCAAAGAAATGTTCTCTCCACTGTTGGCAGGTTGCCATTTAATTCTTCTTTCCAAGGTCATTCCATGTTCATCAGATCCGACTTTCCTACAATAAAGGTTGCTATATAACTTATGTTGATCTTGTAAACCCCATGTACTTTTTCTTAAGTGGGTATAACCTGTAACCTTGATGGCGGGGGTGGGATTGCGGCTCTTCACATTCTTTTGATGAAGGTCCAGGGATTACTATAGTTGTGCATACTAATATAATGCATTGTGTTGCCACTATCTCCAAATGTTTTGGTTCTTTACTTAAGTGAGGGTTTTTCCCACAGAACATATTTGAAATTGAAAAGGGAAGCCTGCTGGTGTAGTGCAAAGGAGAACACAGGAGACATTTGCTGGATAGTATTTTATATTTAACAAAATATTTTTAATAATATATTTTTCAAATTTGTTTTCTAGAGTCTTTTTTTTTACAGTAGCGTGTTTTGTTTTCACTAGTTTTCAGGCACACTATTGTTTAGAGGTGTAAAAAATCTGACAGATATTCTCTTTATGAAGAACACAGTTCCCCCTGTTTCTTTAGCAGTTGAAGTACTTAATCTGATCTCCAAGCAAGTAGGGTACAGCACAGCTTTATTTAAAACAGGTAGATCAAATTATATCAACATAATGATCTGGCCCTATGCTATGTCATGTATATGTATATACAAATTTCTGGAGCCTCATTATGCATAGGATTGACCTCTATGGAACAGGTACAATTTTCAGATGCACGTGCTTGGGAAACTTCCTGAGCTCCAGAACTTGTAGTAAGCAATGTTTATTCAGTCCTTCTAGTATTCTAGCAAGCTCTTATTAGTGACCAATGGTTTAGGAGGATAGGAATTTGTAGTCCAGAGTACCCAAAGGACTGTAGCTAAAAGAAGCAGTGCAAAATGACCGTCAGCTTCTCCATCCATTCTAACAGGTTACCTGTTGAATTTTCTTTGTGCCTTTTCATTCAGGGTATGATCTGAAGGCTCATGCTGGAGTGTCTGTGCTGGAACTGTGCGGATAGTGTCTGGTCAGTAACTGAATGGGAGAACACTTGAGGTCACCTTCATTTCCATGCCAGAGAAGCATAATGAGGAAAAAAATATATATAAACTATGTCAGAATAATCAGTATACTTGACCAACATTTGTAAACTGCAGCATACCTTTTTGATTAGTTGCAACTATGCTCTCTATGCTTGAGAGTCAGCCATGAGTAATTTTTTTCTATCAAGCAAGACATTTATGTACAGACATATGACATAGCTATTATTCATAGCAGTTTGAACAACACAGTCTATCCATTATTTGTAGTGTAAAAGAACTGGAAATGAAGAGTAATATTTGGGGGGGTTGGACTAGATGACCTACAAGGTCCCTTCCAACTGTTAATCTGTTAATTCTTAGTAGCTCACTACACCTTCCAAACTGATCCCAAGAACATGGAAAAAAAGAGAATAACCCTAACCCTTAAGAGCACAGCACAAGACTTTTAATAAAACCAACTTATTTTAATTAATGAACTCTAAATGTAGGGAAAATATTAGCATATTTGGCTTTCATATAGGACATAAAAGAAAGTGCGATTATCCATGTTTTCCAAATGTAATGAATGATATCCTTAAAATTCAATACACAGAAAATAAACAAACAAGTAAGTAAATAATGCAGCATAACTTCTCTAGACAAATCCATTGAGGTGAGATTAGAAAGGTAAAAGGCTTTCCCCATATTAAGCAAAACTTGCAATATATAAAATGTGATAAAAAGGATAGAAGTCAATCTGATAGAAGTCAATCTGAACTGACATGGTTTTTTTGTTTACTTCATAAAGCATTTAATCAGTGTTATTTACACTAGCATTCAGAGCTGGTGCATTTACCACAGGATTTTTTTAAAAAATAAGACTGATAGTTTTTTAAATTGTTCAGATTGGTTTGCAAAGTAACAGAAGAAAAAAAAAACCCAGGGTTGTGCAGGGCTTCAGATTTGAAGGGGGGAAAGTGCTTTGGTGCACACAGAGATGGTCTCATAAAACCTGTTGACAACTCTTTCAAGCAGCTACATCATTTCACGGGATCACCTTACTGTGAAAAAGGTAAGTAGATCCCAGAAGGTGATAGAAAGTTCTAGATGCTTCTTGGAGGAGAATAGAAGAATTTGGAAAAAAAATGCAGCTGATGAACCATCCAAAGCCAAAAGCTGCCTTTTCCTCCAATAGGAGAAATGTCAAAACTGCATGACTTTCATTCCTCTGAGAGAGGGAGCTCGGGGACAAAAGCAGAGCTAATTTATCAATATTAGGAGGGCCAGACTAAAAGAAGGCCAAGGAAGCAAGGAAAGAATGGACTGAAGAGAAAGGCCAACGATAGTGCTAATTATTAGGTTCCTTAATAAATTCTGACTGATACAAATAGAACCCAAATCTTGGGAAATCTTGCAGAAACGGGGAATAACTCATTTTGCCTACCCAATAAAATGGTTGATGGTAGGTGCAAATTTTCCATACATAATACATATTTCTGGGACCTTGGTGTTTCAGTCATTTTCCAGTTAACACAATGTTCTTCCATGGAACATATTTATACTAATGTCTAAAAAGATTGTGTAGGAAATGATTTCAATCTTATCCAAGAAACTGCAAAATTAAAAATAGATTTGGAACATGATGTTTCTTTCATAATATATTTTACCTAAGAAGAAATGGAGCAATGGACAAAAAACTTCTCCCTCTTAATTTAGCCCCAAATATATGCACTTTTAAGCTCAAGCAAGGAGGACTTCTTCATTGGAATTAGAAATAAACACTGAAAAGAAAAATGAAAAACACAAATTTAATTCAGGAAACTTGCACAGTTAATTTTCTTTGGACTCTTGAGCCAAAAAAAAAAAAAAAACCAGGATTACATTATATTTTGATTTCCAGACAACCTGGTCAAATGAATCTTTTGTGTGATTTCCTCCACCCCATCAGATTTATAGGAATGTTATTCAGCATTAAATGTTTTAAAATATATTTGTGCTGATAGTTAACACTTGGATAGTCATGAATTGCAACTCTGTGTCAGATGATTTCTTCCAGTAGAGATGCACATATTATCTCTTAAGAACCAGTTGATTTCTACATTCATGCTGAGATTATTCAAAGATGGCGAGAGAGCAAAGAGGGCAGTAATTGTCACTAAAATTAACCCGAATAGGCATATTTAGTCTGATGGATTAGGGAAAGGCAAATCTCTAGGAAGCTGCAGTTTTTTTCCTCCTTGCCTAGGACCAAAGAGGTGGGAAAAATGATAATGTAACAGATTGACACGGGTATGTGTTGTTGAGTGATGATCTTAAGAGTTTGGTTTTCTTAGGTTGTATAATCTCTTTCATGAATATTGACTGCTCACACTGGTTGGCTTTAGCTTGTTTTCTTTCGAAATTATAGCATACATTTTTCTTTTCAATTATCTCCACGTGGTGGAGAAAACATAAACAATCACCAGAAGAAGCTCTGTAAAACATTCCATTCCTAAGCTAACTTACCAACCTGTGTTGCTTGCTCTAATGTCAAGCTACATATATTTTTTTTCAGAGAGGAAAAGAGAGGAAGAGAACAAGCTCACAGTTAAAATTGTCTTATTTAACCCTAAAAGATTTTGCTGGTGAACCAACTGCAGCTGGCAGATTCAGCTTGGAAAACTGTCACAATGGGTACGCAAATATCATTGCTGGGAGCTTTGCCCTATGCAGTCGGCTTGCCTTGACATTCACGTTTGGAGCACTGGGCAGGTTTCCACCAGTCCCCGTGATGGCAGTGACAGATGTTACACTCATCCACTTTGACTTCGATGCCAGCCGGAATGATGGTGGTTCCTGCAAAGCAGTTTGGACCTGCAAATGTATATACATAAGTAGATTAAATGATTAACCAGATTGGAGAACATGGTCTTGATTACATTGGGCATAGTCCATCCAAACTTAACATTTTTAATTCCACTGCAGCCATCACAAAGATTGAAACCCAGATTTAAAATGGCTTTACTTATAATGTTATTGTCCACGAACTTTGTGCTCTTTTACTGAGAATAGAAATACTCTCAGTAAATACTGTATTCATGATGTAACATACAGAGAAAAATAATAATTTCATTCCATGTACAAAGACCAATGTCTTAATAAAAATGGGAAAAACAGAAAAATCAACATATGATATTTTCAAAGCTGTTTCATATATATAGATGATTCAAACAGCAATCCTTTTTCATCCTCCATTTTGGTATTCTTAGTACCTAACAGACACTCACCTAAGTACTTTAATGCCCAGTGATGACTAACCTTTTCGGTACCTAGTGCCCAAAGCACGCGTGCGCCCTCCACTTGTGCCCCGCCTCCACGGATGCATGCACAACCCCCCTCACCCAGCACATGCACATATGACCCCTTGCATCCCCTGCACATGCCCGTGTGACCCTGTGCATGCACCCTGCCCCCGCGTATGTGCGGCAGAGACCCAAAGACTAGCTGGCTGGTGGGAGGTGACGTGCGCATGCGCAGCAGAGTTGAGCTGGGGCAACAGCTCACGTGCCCAGAGAGAGGGCTCTATGTGCCACCACTGGCACGTATGCCATAGGTTCACCATCACGGGCCTAGAGTATGATGGGCTTTGGTGAGCTTTTAGTTATTTGAATATCTTTTTTCCCTGTCTACTTTTATGTTTGCAGATGAAAACACAAATATATTTATTGCATATAGGGAGAAGAAAAGATGGCATACGAGGCAGCATCTGTTGTAAGGAGCAACCTCTGAAGCCTTTCTTGTTTCAATTTTTTCACAAGCTCTTTTATTTTATCCCATTTTACTCTATATTTCATCTGCTTTACCCTCCTGCTGGAGACTGGCAATTTTATTGTTTTTACTGGAGACTGTATTTTTATCATTTCTGCCATGGGAAAAGAGGCAGTGGGATTAATTTCCACCTTACTCCTTTATTGCTTGATAAAATCATTCGCTATAGAAAGTGCAAGGAAAAGAAATAAAAGTGATCTTATTGTTCCTGTTCCAGACAAGAGGAAGCAAACTGTAGCCAAAATCCTGTTGAATTACAAGGCCCTAGCTCAATGCTTTTAACCAGAGATAAGCTCCCCCTCTGAGCATTGGTACTATTCTGAGTTGCCAACCAGCAAAATCACCTCATTCAAATTGTCACCACCTCCCTCAAAATTCTCTGGAGCTCATGCAACAAACAGCAAGGCTGTGGTAAAGTGGACAAGTGTCATACCAATGTGTTGTTTTTTGACACTGAAATAATTTTGGAGAATATCCCTTCAGTGCAGTGGTAGGATTCCAATTTTTTTACTACTGGTTCTGTGGACATGGCTTGGTGGGCATGGCAGGAGAAGGATACTGTAAAATCTCCAGTCAGATGTGGCATTTGCCGGTTCTCTGAACTACTCAAAATTTCTGCTACTGGTCAGAACCTGCTGAATACCACCTCTGCTTCAGTGGAATGACTGAAAACTCCTGGGCTTCAACCCAAAATTCCAATCCCTTTGAACCATCCCACTAACTTTAAGCACAAAGGTTCCAACCAACTACTGACTTGGAACATGGTTGGCTGGCAGAATAGAGCAACAGATGGGGACTTGATGGAGATTCTCTCCAATTTTGACTTTATAGCAAGAGTCTTGAATGAATGATTGATTGATTGAATGAATGAATATATACTATTTTAGAACAGAGAATAGAATAGAATAGAATAGAGTAGAATAGAGTAGAGTAGAATAGAATAGAATAGAATAGAATAGAATAGAATAGAATAGAATAGAATAGAATAGAATAGAATAGAATAGAAGCTGGAAGGGATCTTGGAGGTTTCTAGTCCTGTACCATTTCAGATAGGTGGCTGTCTAGACTCTTCTTAAAAACACCCAGTATTGGAGCACCCATGATTTCTGGAGGCAAGCTCTTCCACTGGTTAATTGTCCTCACTGTTAGGAAGTTTCTCCTTAATTCCAGATTGCTTCTCTCTTACTAATCAGTTTCCAACTATTGTTTCTTGCCCTGCCCTCTGGTGCTTTGGAGAATAATTTGACCCCCTCTTCTTTGTGGCAGCACCTCAAGTACTGGTATACTGCTGTCATGTCATCCCTAATTTTTCTTTTCTTTAGATTAACCAAACCCAAATCCTGCAGCCATTCTTCATATGTTTTAGTCTCCAGGCATTTGATCATCTTAGTTGCTCTTCTCTGAACTTTTTCCAAAGCCTGAACATCTTTTTCGTAATATGATAACCAAAATTGGTTGCAGTATTCCAGGTGTGGACTTACTAGATATTTATAAAATGGCACTAATACTTCACATGATCTTGAATCTATGCTTCTGTTTATACAACCAAGGATTGTATTAGCATTTTTGGCTACTGCTGCACACTGCTGGCTCATATTTCAAGTGATCATCCACTAAGACTCCAAGGTCCCTTTCGCAGTTACGGTTGATTACAAATGAAGAGAAGATTCAATTACCAGGCTTTAGTTCCTGGATTATTCCTGCAAAGAAATTTAAGACTAAGGGGAGGCATCAGGAGGACTACTACTCTTGCCAAGGGCTGGCAAGAACAGGAACTCAAACTTTCCCATCTAGTTGTCAAATTTTCTTATAAATTCTCTGAAATAGTTCTACTTTATCTTCCACTGCACACATCTCCTCACTTTTCTCCTAATATGTGGGAAAATCTAGAAAAGACAGTGATAAACTCACTCTAAAACCACTGTAATTCTCACAGGAGACTTAAATGCCAGAGTGGGGGCTTCCTTCCAACATTTTACTCATGGGTGTTATTACGGAAGATTGTCTAATTAATGATCCCTCCTGGCTTGCTAGAGGCACCAAAAGAAACACCACAGGTTCACAATTGGTCTCCTTGATTTGTTAATATAGTCTCCATATTTTAGGTAGTAAAGAACTGATTTTATATATTCTTTTACATACCATTCAGGAAACTCCACCAGCGTTTTAGATTACATGTGTTACACATCCAAGCCCATGTGAGGGAGGATAACGACCATCATCAAAGTCCATTTTTAAGGCAGATCTGATACTAGGTTATACATGCCCCATGATAAGAGGTTATTAGCTAACCTCTTATTAGAAGTGATGTACAACAGAAAGCTTAATCGGGTCAAGATTGGTATCATGGCATTGCATATACAGGCCCAGACTTGGAGAAAACTCAATTTCCTCCCATACTCAAGATTCAGGTAAAATCTTGACCACCAATATGCAATCTTTGTTGTTCACTGTGAAAAAAATTAATAGACAAACTTCCTACTAGAAATCATCAGCAAATAAATTCAGATTGGTTTGATTCTGATTATGTAGATGAAAGTTATTGAGGGCAGCAAATGTGCCAGGCCTTAGAAAAAAATGCTAAAAAATCCAGCATAACTACAAAAAATGCATAGCCTTTCAAAATGCCTCCTATTAAAGTTAAAACATGGTCAGATCTGGAAGTTTCAGTGAAAGGGACTTCTTCTGGAGTATGGTATCAAGTTTATTAAAGGAACATACATTTCAATTTGATATTCTTATTTCAGTCTCAATTTAGGAAGATTTTAATGCAGATCTATTTCCTGATCCTAACCAGGGCCTCTCACACAAACAGATGTTCAATACTTTAGCTGTTCAAAATCTTCCCCCAATCACTGGCCTCTATTAGAAATCAGGGCTGTTCACCCATATAAATAACACAGGCTGTATTATAATTGGATGGGAAGTTACCATTATACGCCCCCTATATAAAATAGGGTGACAAAGGTGACCCCAAACTATAGAGCAATAAAACCTTATTAATAAAATTGTGGCTAAAATGAATGAAAAACAAGAGACTGGGTAATGGAAAGAAACCTCTTAGTGAACAAGCTGTACTCAGATACCGGTAATAGTTTTACTTTAAAACATCTCATAACAAAGCAATTACCAATAGCAAGAAACTATGGCATTTATAGATCCTAGGCTTTTGATTCTATAAATAGAAATATTATGTGTGTGAAATTGGCCATCTTAAATATGAAACCAGGATACTTATTCTTTATTAAGGCCTTCTACTCAAACACCCATTTGAAAGTCCATATGGGTATAAATGGTTGTGTACCCACATATAACATGGTGTTAGACAGGATTGTATCCTAACCCCAATGCTTGTTAATTTCCATGCCAATGATTTACCAGGATTCTTATATGCTACAGACATTCATATGCCGAAGATCCAGATGAATTTATTAATATCTTTTTATGTGCTGATGACATGATAGTTATAGCAGTTAGACTTATATACCGCTTCACAGTGCTTTACAGCCCTCTCTAAGCAGTTTACAGAGTCAGCCTATTGCCCCCAACAATCTGGGACCTCATGTTACCCACCATGGAAGGATGAAAGGCTAAGTCAACCTTGAGCCATTGAGAATTGAACTGCTGAACTGTAGCCAGCAGTCAGCAGAAGTAGCTTGCAGTCCTGCATTCTAACCACTGCCACCATGGCTCAAGATACTAATGGTGTATTCCTAAATAGGCTTGAGAAGACCGCTGCAAAGGCTAAATATCTACTGTATACTTAATTTGTTAAGCTTCAATAAATTTCAAATTTAATGATGGTATTTAGTGAAAATGTAATTGGCAGATAAATGGGGAACTATTAGAACACAGAATATAGAATAACCAAGTTGGAAGGGACCCTATACTACTTGGGTCAAATGACTGTCCAATCTTTTCTTGAAAACCTTCAGTAATGGAGCACCCACATTTCAATGATTAATTGTTCTCATTGTCAGAAAATTTCTTCTTGGTTCTGTTAGATCTCTTTTTAATGATCTTCTACCCATTACTTGTGTTGACTT